CCACTCCTCTGCCTACCGGTCACACTCGCTCTCAGCTCTGCCTTCGGATGAGTCCGTAGAGCCGAGTGGCCCGTATCCAGAGCTTGTGGGCTGCCTCATGTACCTGATGACCTGCACTCGACCTGACCTTGCTTACCCTCTTAGCATCCTGGCTCGCTACGTTGCGCCCGGGAGACACCGACCAGAGCACTGGAAGGCCGCTAAGAGGGTGATGCGCTACTTGTGCAGTACGTCGGGCATGGGGCTCGTGCTTGGAGGACGGGCTCGAGTTGTCCTCACTGGTCACGCAGACGCTTCTTGGGTTGACGACTTGGCTACGCAGCGGTCGTCACAGGGTTACACCTTCAGCCTTTGCTCCGGCTCTGTTTTGTGGCGGTCTACCCACTCGTCTTCTGTTCTCAGCTCCAGTTGTGAGGCTGAGATCTACGCAGGGGCCATGGCTGCACAGGAGTTACGCTGGCTCACCTACCTGCTGACCGACTTGGGAGAGCCGCCTCGTTCTCCTCCAGTTCTGTACGTCGACAACAAGGCCATGATTGCCTTGTGTCAGGAGCACATACTGGAGCACAGAACGAAGCACATTGCTCTGCGCTACTTCCTTGCTCGAGAGTTGCAGCAGCGTGGTCAGCTTCGTCTTGTTTACGTGGCCTCGCAGGCCAACACTGCTGATATCTTCACCAAGGCACTTCAGCCTTGTGATCATCAACGTTTCTGTACTGTTTTAGGCCTTGTGCCTACCTGGCCTCACTTGCTCACTTCTTGACTTTGCTTGTACTGTGATCTATATACTTATACCTGCATGCTTACACTTGCTAGGTTGTGATCACTGTACTGCTTGTTCTCTTTTATATATAACTCTGCATGTGGACAGGCCTTGTGGCCATTTGCTTGTGCTCGGACTGCGTGGTGACGTTGTGATCCACCCTGAGCTTGACCTTGCTTCGTTCTCTTGCTTGTCCCCCACTTTGCCTATGGGGGTGTGTCAGAACTATGCATTCATATGCTCTAGGTTGTAGTGGGGCACTCCTTATGGGGTACAGCCAAATTAGGTTTTGCTATACAAACACTGTACTGCTGTCATTCTAGTCATTCATTCCTTCCTACTTTCTGACACAGCGGCCGCTCGAGTTTAGTAGCCGCATCACTACTTTGTGCTCAAATCCTTCGTCCTCATGGGGTACGACGCTCCTTCGGAGATGCTCCGATTTAAGAGATGATATTGAGGCGTACCAGAAATTATTAGTTCCCCTGAAAGTCTTATGTTTTGTCTCGCTGTCGAACGAGTGCTATGCGTTTCCCTCCATTTCCACTGAGCATGCTCTGAAGTTTTTTTAGTCAAAATAATATCCAATCCGTCTCCCTTCCCTGTCCTTGTTTTATTATTTTTAATGTGTGTGTTTTCTATATTACTATTATTATATATTGTTTCAAATTCCTCCTGGTGTATTCCCTTTCTCCCATTCCGCTCGTCCCTCCCAATCTCCACCAGCTTCTACAATTTGGCGGCACCGTGGGGAATGAGATGATGCGAAAGGAATTTGTGGATCGGCTGGGTTGGCTGGACGACAACCAGTTCGTTGAAGTATACCGATATGCCAATGTACGGTGCTTTTGGGTGTATTTATGTTATGCCAACTTGTCAATTGCCAAGGCTGCAATGGAAGTGAAAATGGATGTCCTCTCACGTCGATAGGAATGGAGAGGTCAGGTGCGTGGACCGACGGAGATGGCTGGATGACAACGAGTTCGCCAAAGTCTGTAGATTTGCCAATGTAATGTGTTGCGGGGTGTGTTAGTGTGATGCTCTTCTGTTGATGGTAAAGGCTGCAGTCGAATGGGTGAAGCCTTCACACATCGTCAGGTCGGTAGGATCGGAGGGAGCAGGGGCATGGACCGGCGAGGGGGGGACTGACTGAACGACAACAGCTTTGCCGAGGTTAACTGATACACCAATGTAATGTGCATGTGTTATTGGGTGTGTTTCTGTGTTCTTGGGTATGTTGTGATGTGCTCTTGGGTGTGTTGTGGTGTGCTCTTGGGTGTGTCTGTGTAATGCCTTCCTGGTGGTATGCGGGTGGGGTGTGTGTGGGTGGTATGTGTGTGTGTGTGGGTGGTGTGTGTGTGTGTGTGGGTGGTGTGTGTGTGTGTGTGTTGCTAAGGTACAGACAAGCACCTCATCGAACGGTCCTTGCATTAATCAGGGGGGTGTTACAAAGGTCGATGCAAAGGTACAGTCAAGCACCTCATCTGTCTCTACCCCTCCATAGTTTGCATCATCTCGCCTCTCCACTTGTCTCCCTGCCCGCCTGCCCGCCATCCTACAAGGATGCACATGGTGTGGATGATGGAGTGGATTTCGTCTGTACCTAGCGAAACCAAATCAAGCCGTACCCCATGTTTCTCTTCTCCCTCTGTGGTTTGCATGCATAACCTTCTTCATGCCTGCCTGAAGGCCATTCCAGTCTCAATGGGGATACAGATGGAGTGGATGATGGAGTGGATGATGGAGTGGATAATGGTGTGGATTGTCAAAGAAGTGATAAAGCACTACGGCAGACGCAGCAGCAGACTCAAAGGAAGGGTCAGTCACAACCGTGGCAAGGAGACGAGTGACAGTCGGACTGGCAGTACGGACAAGGTCTTACTCAGGGTCAGGAACGTGAGGAAGAGAAGAAGCAGGAGGAGACGGCAGGACAACACGCTGTGGAACAGAGGAAGGACGAAGTGCCATACGGTTAGTGCCTGGCACAGCGGGAGCACGAGGACGGACAACACGACGATCGCGAACAGGTGTGGAAGCACGAGTCTCAGGCTCACGACGCTCAGAGCAAAACTCAGTTACCTACGTGTGAGGAGCAGGAGCAGGCAGTGGGGAGCCAGGTAGTAGCTGTGGCTGAGACTGGTCAGTCGGTGGGAACAGCAACGGAGTAGTACCAGCAACCGGGAACTCAGTAGCAGCAGGCGGGAGACTGAGAAGGTGACGAAGCGCAGACTGTTGCGGCTGAGTAGTCACACCCCCAGAACCTCGAGCCCCAGTAGGAACAGCACCCCCAGAACCAGCACCACCAGCTCCACCACTGGGACTGCCCCAACGAGCAGCCCACGCGCGAAGCTGCTGCGGCGAGAGCGACTCCTGCCGACTAGCACCACCAACTCCAGTACCTCTAGTAGCACCTCCAGTGTCAGCACCTCCAGTACCCCCAACTCGTGGAACAACAGCACTAGCACCTAGAGGGCCAGCACCTCCAGTGCCTCCAGTAGCACCTGTGCCTCCAGTACGTACCTCCAGCACGGCCAACTCCAGGAACACCAGCACTAGCACCTCCAGGGCTAGCACCTCCATAACCTGCAGCTCCAGTACGTCCAGCGCCACCACCAGGGCTGCCCCAACGGACAGCCCACTCGCGAAGCCGCTCCGGCGAGAGAGGCTCCTGGCGACGTGAGCCAGGACTACCCGCAGCAGCACCCACAGCAGCAGCACCTCCAGTACCTCCAGTAGCACCTGTGCCTCCAGCACCAGTACCTCCAGCACGGCCAATTCCAGGAACACCAGCACTAGCACCTCAAGGGCCAGCACCTCTAGAACCTGCAGCTCCAGCACGTCCAGCGCCACCACCAGGACTACCCCAACGGATAGCCCACTCGCGAAGCCGCTCCGGCGAGAGAGGCTCCTGGCGACGTGAGCCAGGACTACCCGCAGCAGCACCCACAGCAGCAGCACCTCCAGTACCTCTAGTAGCACCTGTGCCTCCAGCACCTGTACCTCCAGCTCTAGCACGGCTAGCTCCGCCACCGGGGCTGCCCCACCAGATAGCCCACTCGCGAAGCTGCTGCGGCGAGAGAGACTCCTGCACACTCGGCTGCCGCTGACGTAGAACAGTGTTAGTGGCCATGGCAGGCAGTGGCAGCTGGTAGCACCAGCTGCGCAGCAGCAGTAGTACAGGCGGCAGTAGCAGCGCAACAGCACTCAGGGCAAGGCGGCGCTAGTGCAGGATAGGGCAGCGCGGGGCAGCGCACGCGGGTGGCAGCAGCACCTAGGGCGATAGCAGCAGGCGGTAGCACCTAGGGCGGCAGCACCTAGGGCAGCAGCACCTAGGGCGGCAGCGGCAAGCAGCACTTGCGTGCGGGCAGGGCAGGCGCGGGCAGCACGAGCAGGGTAGGGCAGGTGCGCGTGCAAGGCAGCAGCGCGGGGTAGGGCACGGGTCGTTGGGCAGCAGGGCGCGCTGGGCGCTGGGCAGCAGGGCGCGCTGGCGCGCTGGGCAGCAGGGCGCGCTGGCGCGCTGGGCAGCGGGGCGCGCTGGCGCGCTGGGCAGCGGGGCGCGCTGGCGCTCTTGGCAGCGGGGCGCGCTGGCGCGCTGGGAAGTGGGGCGCGCTGGCGCGCTGGGCAGCGGAGCGCACTGGCGCCCTGGGCAGTGGGGCGCGCTGGCGCGCTGGGCAGCGGGGCGCGCTGGCGCGCTGGGCAGCGGGGCGCGCTGGCGCGCTGGGCAGCGGGGCGCGCTGGCGCGCTGGGCAGCGGGGCGCGCTGGCGCGCTGGGAAGCGGGGCGCACTGGCGCGATGGGCGGCGGGGCGCGCTGGTGCGCTGGGCAGCGAGGCGCGATGGCGCGCTGGGCGACGGGGCGCGCTGGCGCGCTGGGCAGCGAGGCGCGCTGGCGCGCTGGGCAGCGGGATGCGCTGGCGCGCTGGGCAGCGGGGCACGCTGGCGCGTTGGGCAGCGGGGCGCGGGCAGCGCACGGGCAGCGTGCGGGCAGCGTAGGGCAGCAGCGACGGGCCGGGCAGGAAAAAAAAGGGGGGGGGACTGGCGGGCAGAGCGGAACGAATTCGGTGGGCCCTAAAAATTTCGGTCCTAACCGGGACCTACTCTGAAACCATGTCAAAGAAGTGATGTGTGCATTGAGTAGGATGAGAGAACAAGTAGGAAACCCTAAGGGGTTGTACTCACTAGAGTTTGCCCCACTGCAGCCTAGAGCATACAAAACATAGTTTGACATGGATGATGGAGTGGATGACGTTGTGGATGATGGTGTGGATGATGGTGTGGATGATGGTGTGGGTTATGGAGTGGATGATGGTGTGGATGATGGTGTGGATGATGGTGTGGATGATGGTGTGGATGATGGTGTGGATGATGGTGTGGGTTATGGAGTGGATGATGGTGTGGATGATGGTGTGGATAATGGTGTGGACTATGGAGTGGATGATGGAGTGGATGATGTTGTGGATTATGGTGAGGATGATGGTGTGGATGATGGTGTGGACGATGGTGTGAATGATGGTGTGGATGACGGTGTGGATGATGGTGTGGATGATGGAGGGTGTGATGGTGTAGATGATGGAGCGGATGATGGAGTGGATGATGGAGTGGATGATGGAGTGGATGATGGAGTGGATGATGATTTGGATGCTGCATGCCTTTCTCAATGCTTGTTTACACCAAGTCGTAGCCACCCTCTCACCGCGGCATGGCAAAACAAAAGTGGGAATGGGGGCTTGTTTGGTCCGCAAATCTCAAGTTTGGCGTCACCACCAGATTCTCATAATTGCATGTCAAGGCCCTGCGCTGCACCTGCTACATTCTGGTGCAAACGGAATGCACCTCGTTTATCTTGAGTCGACTCAGAAGTCATCTCATATTTGCATGTCAAGGCCCTGCACCTGCGACACTCTTATGCATGAAGGCCGAATGCCGCCTACCTTCTGTGCCGTGCTGCCCAAACTCTTGATGCGTTGCGTATAAACCACGTGACTGTCTTTCCCTGGGTTGATGTGAGTGTGTGGACGGGGATGGTGCTGCTCTGTTTTATGTGTATGTGTGTATGTGCATGTGGTATATAATAGTGCAATTCAACATTGATGGTTCGCAATTATGGGTGCTGGCATACATACGCCTCAACCTTGACACGATCAAGCCATGCCTTCTTCTAAACATCCTCAATACGCTCCTGTTCACGGTTCACGCGATATTAGTTTGTCACCTGTTGTTTCTCCCATACGATAAAAAGTAATCTGCATGATGTATTTTGGTTATCATAATAAAATTGTGGAATGGTTGGAAATGCGTTTTTATGTCTAACATAGACGCCTGATTTTCAGGATGAAGCTGCTAATACACATAGTTCGCGGTATTTTAACCGCCGCTATCTTAACAGCGCGAGGGTACTTCTCCTTGGTCAAACTTGTTTAAACGAGTAGTTTGAAAATTAATGAGGGTAGAATCTAGTATTCCCGTCGCGAGATCACGGCAGTTAAAACTCTGCCAATACCGATATGCCCCCTATCTCGGACCGCTAAGTGTGCATTTCTTCAGACGGAAAGGCATCCCGCTGTAAAATAATAACCTCGAAGTCTCTGGGTGCCCATCTCATTACCCGAAAACGAATAAAGGGTGTTTGAAACAAAACAGTTCACGCGGTTAAAATACCGCGGACTAGGTGTAGTAAAGTCAGAGTTCTACCAACACTACCATTTTTTTCTGGAAGCTCACGCTGTCGTTACATCAGGAAGAACATGCAGGTGTCAGGCTGACAGTTTTGAATCATGACGACTGGAAATTCGCTCTTGGATGACCGGAAGCAGCCGCGCTGCTCACATCGCACGGTCTGGAATGGCTTCGGACTGATTTTCCATTGGGCTGCGAGTGAGAACAGATTTCGCGATTTCCTGGTTGGACTGTAACCAGATTGCACTTTGGCAGGTGACGGTGTGTCGTTAGCGCTGTGAGGGGCGCAGCCTAACCCCACTGGAATGAGGTGATTGGTAGGGGCGGGCAGTTGGTTTGGCAAGCCAGGCACGGGTGTCGGAGACGGACCAGACCCTGTACCACAGGTCATTGGCTGTCTGTTCAAAAGAAACCGCGAGGGCTGGAGAGAACGGTCGCGGGGAATCTGGCACGTACAATACGATCCTTCGACGGCTGATTTGCATGAAAGCAAGACAAGAAAACCATTGCTGTAAGTGCTGAGCAAAAATATATTTATGGGTGCAATGCCCCGTTATAGCTTCACGTTACGTGATTGGTCTGATGGGTGATGCTGCTGCCCGTGATGCGCAAAGAAGAATCCGAGGTCCGACCCGAGGAACCTGCGCTCGTTGCTTGCTGCCTTGGTGGTGCCCTGTCCTGCCTCAGGCGGAACTGTAGCAAGGACGGATGGGCGGGAGAGGGAGGAGGGGAACAACTGAAAATGGAGGAATCTAGGAAGCACCCCCCAGTCGCAGCGGCGGATGGAAACAATACGGTTCGGACATGCAATTTCGTGTTACAGAGGCTTACAGCTCGGTGGCGGAATATCAAATGTAAAGATGCGTTTTTCGATCTTCGCGCACCATTTGCCTTACTGCGCGGTCCTGAACCCGATAAGCACGGTACAGAGGGTTACGGATAGGTTTAAAAGAACGATAGGTGTCGGGATGTGTGGGGGTGTCTCGATATTTCTCTGGTGGGTAGGCGATGGTGAGCAATGGTGAACGATGGAGGAGGAGGCAGACTACTGTACTCAAGACGGGACGGTCGGGTCGGGTCGGGATGTGTAGTCCTCGGGAACATCGGAGCCTGCCCATTTCTTGAGAGCCTGTATCTGATCCAAAACGTCTCCCTCCCACCCATTCCTCTCATGACTCATTTCTCCCATGCCATCCATTCCTCTCTCCTCCCTATCAAAGCATACTCAGCATTTTTTCGAGCTACCAAATTCCCTACTTGCATCAAGATCGTGTAAGTGCCTCAAGAGAGCCGCTTGGGGATTATCGAACTTAGTCGTTCGACATGCGCGTTCGTCGTGCGTGGATTCAGGGGGGCGTTCTAGCCCAGATTACAGGCAGCGCCGTTCCGTAGACTCAAGACACTGGCTCCGTGACGAACCAGCCTGATTCTCTTGTGTCGACTAAAAGTCGCTTAGACAATCAACGAACTTTTTCCGACGACGCGATCGCTATTACATTTTCGTTTCCTCGACATTCTGTATCAAGCTCCAACTGTCAGGCCAGACGTCTCAAAAGACTCCAACCGTCAAGCCAGGCGCCTCAAAAGACTCCAACCGTCGATCCAGACGTCTAAAAGTCGCTCTTCCTGTCAAACATCACTCCTCTTCTGAGACCTTTCAAGAGGCTGCAACCGTCAGACCAATGATGGCGATATCATCGGAGCGCGAATCCTCCCGTTTTAAGAACATGATATCAAGTTTCCGCAAGGAACGGGGAGCGCGTCGACGCGAGATGGAGCCGGCGCTGTGCTTGCTCAAGTCCCACTCCCTCCAGCCGGGCTTCGAACTCTCCCGCCTTGGCGAAAACGGCCACGTGATTTCGTTCACTCCCCGTCCGTCGCTAGAGCTTTCGCAGACCACTCCTGGCGTGGTGGCGAACGAAGGAGCCGGCGAACCAGCCCAGGTGGTAACCCGTCAGTCCAAAGCAGCTGATAATCATCGCCGGCAGCAGAGCTGCGGAGGGCACGGGCCAACCGGCAACGATGATGCTTACAAGCCGTCTATTTTGACGGTAACGAAGGAACAGCCGTCATCTTTTGACGGCCCTGCCAGAGCAGCCGCGGCGCCCTGGGGTGGTGAATACATTGAAGCGTTCCGATTGGCTCGTGTGGAAGACAATCTGACGAACCACCTGAAGGACAACCTGCAGGGGAAGGATGAACAGTGTCGCGCAGTCGAGTCTCCCGGCACGCTGGAGATCTCTGTTGTACCCGACCAGGTTCAGGAGAATTTCCAGGGTGAAGTGGGGACCACGGCGAAATGCGATGCAAGAACGACAGTCGCGGATGCTGCTGATCTGATTGATTCGCCCGACTCCGTAATGGTAAACGCGGAAATTACCCTCTCTGTGGGCAGCGAATCCCCGGCTGTCAGCAACGAAGATGCGCCCGCGGATTGCGGAGTTGCGGAGAGCGGTGGATGGGAAGGGAATGCGCTCAGAAGCGACGGGGAGGCCGATGGGGGGACGAGGACTGGGCTCGCGGAGGCGAGGGGGAAATGCGCAGGCGAGAGCGGAGAAGAGGCGGCGGAAGGGGGTGCGCGGAGCAGCGGCTGGGAGGAGGGGGACGCGAAGGCAGCAAAGGAAGCGAAGGAAGCGGGTGCGGAGGTTAGCGAGACGGAAAATGGCGGCCTAGAGTGTAAACCGCGGGCGCGTTTCAGAGGGCGGGTGAGCCTCCCCCAGCTGAACCTGCGCCTGACTGCCCTGCCACTGCTTCGGGCAGAAAGCTCGGGCAGCCCGAAACCAAAAGAGCAGGAGGAGGCAGCCCTGTGGACTGAGGAGTCTGGGATAGCGAGAGGGGAGGGGCAGCAGGGGCGGAGAGGGGAAGGCGGAGCGGATGCATCCGCGGATGGGGGGAAGGCGGATGAGGGGAAAGCGGATGAGGGGAGGGCGGATGAATTCGCGGAAGGGGGAATTGAGAGCTGTCCAGCCCGGATTGGCCCTCCGTCGTCTTCGTTATTGTCACCGTCCGTTAGAAGGCCGTCGCAGTCAACGCCCCACACTCCCCAGGGGGGCGAGAAGCATCGCCTCCGCACTGGTTTCGGCCGCGACGGCCGTCTGAATCGCCTGCAAATTCGGGACGGGCTGGGAGGAGATCTGGAGGCGGAGGGGCGGCGGAACCAGCGCGGAGCCGATGCGCTGGGGCAGGACCTAGAGGCGGAGGGCGGGGAAGGGGAAAACGCGCAGGCGGGCAGCCGGGAAGGGGCCGCGGGGGAAGCGCGCGGAGCAGCGTGGGGGAGATGGGGAAGGAGCCGGCGCACTGAGAGCTGCTTTGCGGGTGGCTCGGGGAATGACGCGGGGTGCTTGAAGGGGGGCGGTGGCGGGAGTGGCGCTTGCAGCAGCGGTAGCAGCAGCAGCAGCAGCAGCAGCAGCAGCAGCAGCAGCAGCAGCAGCAGCAGCAGCAGCAGCAGCAGCAGCAGCAGCAGCAGCAGCAGCAACAGCAGCAGCAGCAGCAGCAGCTGCAGCAGCGCTGGCAGCGGCAGCAGCAGCAGCAGCTGGGGTGGGAGCGTGAGATTGTCAACAAGGCGGAGACGGTTGCATGTGAGTAGCAATGGCGGCGGCGGCGGCAGCAGCAGCAGCAGCGGCGGCGGCGGCAGCAGCACGGGGACCATCAGCGTGCGCTCCACGCCTGAGGCTTGCACGAAGATATCTGCGTTTGAGCAAGCTCAAGCGTCCCCTGGGGCTTGCGCAAAGATATCTGCGTTTGAGCCTGTTGAGACGAGTGCGTGTGGACCATGGTCGTCACATGATCAAGCGTCAACTCACTCTGGCAATCTAGGTGACTCGTTGGCACGGGTGGCAGCAGAGGGAGGTATTGCTGAGGGTGCAGCAGGAGAAAGAGGAGCAACTCCTGCTGCACCCTCCTCCTCCTCCTCCTCCTCCTCCTCCTCCTCCTCCTCCTCCTCCTCCTCCTCCTCCTCCTCCTCCTCCTCCTCCTCTTCCTCCTTCTCTGTAGCCATCACGTCAGCAGCAGCAGCAGCGGCGGCCGTGGCGACAGCATCATACATTCTGAGGCACGACTCGCTCACTGCTGCTTCCCTGCTTGATCTCGTCCCGCTCACTGCCTGCGATGCTTTCTTCCCCTCTGATACACCCGATGCAAATACTGTTCCTGCTACTGCTACTGCTACTGCTGCTGCTGCTGCTGCTGCTGCTGCTGCTGCTGCTGCTGCTGCTGCTGCTGCTGCTGCTGCTGCTGCTGCTGCTGCTGCTGCTGCTGCTGCTGCTGCTGCTGCTGCTGCTGCTGCTGCTGCTGCTGCGGCGGCGACCACTGGCGCGGCAGGTTTTGAGGCGCCTAAAAAAACGGCGGCGACCACTGGCGCGGCAGGTTACGATGCTACAGCAGAACCAGCTGCAGCCGCTGATGCTGCTCCATCTGTTGCTGCTGCTGTAACAGTCCCTTACTCTGCCCCTGCCGTCGCTGCTGTCGGAGACTTGGGGAGCAGAGGGGGGAGCCTTGGTTCGTCGCTGACAGTAAATGAGCCCGTTTCAGCACAAGAGAAGGCGGGCAAAGCAGGGGATGCAGAGGAATTGGATACAGGGAGTGAAGAGAGCACAGGCATCGCAGGGAGTGAGCCCTTGAAACCCACACAAGCTCTAGAAAGCAAGGTCAGTGTGAGCAATAATGGCTCAGAGAGCAGCAATGGGATTGTGAGTAGCAACGCTAAGAGCCGCTTCAAGGTTCGGAGCAGGAAGCCTGGAAGCTTCAGCAAGGCCCACCGCCGAGCCTCCAGCTCTGGTTCGGCGTTTGGCTTGGCGGCAGGCGAGGAAGCAGCGGAGCAGGTAGCTTCGTCCGGGCCTATCACAGCTCGCCACGCGGCTGGGTCAGGTTCAGCTGTGGAACGCTGTCAGGGTTCTGGGGCCTCTGCGGGCGCTGTGGGTTGTCACAGGTGCGGGGGGGGTGAGGGGCGTAAGGGGCGTGAAGGGTGTGAGGGGACTGAGGGCTGTGAAAGCTGTGAAGGGCCTCGAGAATCTCAGGGGTGTGAGGGATCCGGTTTACAGGGGTCTGATTCTCAGGAGCGCCGTTCTCAGGGGTCCCGTGCGCCGTTACGACCCCGGGCGCCGCTGAGATCGGCATACAGTGCGAGGCGGCGGGCGTTGGAGCGAGTGTCAAAGCTGGAGCGAGCCGGCACTGAAATTGAGCTGGCGGGGGAGACGATGGCTTATATCTGGACGCACACGCCCTCCCTGCAGCGCTCTCTGCGCCGCTCCAACTCGTGCGGTGAGCTCGCTTCAGGGCATCATGAACATCTGGGGGTGGGGGTTGGTGGGGAGCGGAGGGAGGGGGTTGGGGAGGAGATGGGGCCGGGAGCTAGGGGTGGGGGTGCGGGAGGATGGGGGAAGGGGAGTGGTAGTGGGGGAGGGTGGGGGAAGGGGAGCGGGAGTGGGGGAGGATGGGGGACAGGGAGTGGGGGAGGCAAGATGGAGGTGGCGGAGGCTGCAGTTTCTGTGGCGGGCGGGGGGAGGGGGTGGGGTAGGAAGGGCGGGATGTGGGGAGGGTTTTTCTCTGGGCAGCTGGGGCAGACGCAGGGTGGGTTTTGGGGTGGAGATGAGCAGCAGCAGAGGCGGGGGGGAGGGGAGGAGGAGGACAGTGATGACAGCGACGATTTCCTGCCGCCCGGTTTCTCGGTGCCGCTTGTGTACAGTGCGTATGAGGGACGCGCGCCTTACCTTCCCGAGCCTCTAGAGGCCCGGGAGGCTCTGGAGGATCGGGAGGATGGCCCTGCGCAAGCTACTTGTGTGGTTGGGCAAAATGAGAACCCCTTGGAAGCTGGTGATTCTGGTGGACTAGGAACGGCAGTAGCAGCAGACCCATCGGCAGCGGCAGCGGCAGCAGCGGCAGCAGCAGCAGCAAGCAACACTGTGGGAGAAGGATCGGAAGGAGCTGCTGCTGTGGTTGAGGATGCAGCATCCCCCGCTACTGAGTCAGGCCTGTCAGGCTCGGGAGTGAAGTCCGGCCTTGGGAGAATCCCGATTCACGGGGGTATACCCACGTGCCAGCACAGCTCGGCCAATCACAGCACTGCAGCACGCGGGCAGGGGAGCAACAGCAGCAGCAGCAGCAGCAGCAGCACCAGCGGCAGCGGCAGCGGCAGCAGCGGCTATCAGCCTTCGTTCCGACCGTACGGTTTGCCACAGCGGGCAGCAGGCCGGCACAGCACCAAGCCATGCACTCAGCCGCCTCCCGCTGACACCCAGCGGCGCCTCGTGTCGATCTCCGACCCCCGCGACCTGCCCTTCAGAGCGCCTGTCGCTGCCTCGGTTACCACCCTCCCGTCCTTTGCAGAATACCGCGCGAAACTGGCCCTGGAGAAACGTGGGAGTGGGGGTGGTGGTGGTGGTGTTGGTGTTGGGGGTGGTGGTGAGGGTGGGAGTGGGGAAGGGGGGAAGGGGTTGGAGGGGGCGCTTGGGAGGAAGAGGGGCAAAGGGCGCGGGTTGAGGAGGGAAGGGAGTGGTGACTGTGAGAAGGGGAGGGTGGGAAAAGGGGATAAGGGGAAGTTGGAGACGCAAATGGGGTATAAGGAGAAGGAGGATATGGAGAATGGGGCCAGGGGGAAGGGAGATATGAAAAAAGGGGATAAGGGCAAGGTGGGAGAGAGGAGGAGGCACCATGTAAGAAGCTTCTTGCTTCCTGAAACTGTAAGCGAGCATGGAGAGGGGATGAGCGGTGGAATGGAGGCGTCTGCTTATGAGGCGTCTCGGGAACAAGCAGAAGGGGCGAGCAGTGGAGAGGAGAGAGGGAATCAGTTGATTGCAGTGGAGGAAGGAGAGGGGGAGAGCGGTGGAGTGGAGGAATCTGCTGATGAGGCTTCTCGGGAACAGGCAGAGGGGGCGAGCAGTGGAGAGGAGAAAGAAGGTGCTACTGTTGCCCTGCAGGGCGGCAGTGGGCCATCTGACTGCATGGAGGAAGCAGCTGCTACTGAGACCCTCCAAGGCCACGTTGACTTTTGAGTCGAGTAAAAAACGCAGTGGGCCATCTGACTGCGTGGAGGAAGAAACTGCTACTGAGACCCTTCAGGGCCACGTTGAAGGGCTCGGGTCTCAGTCGCAATTGCAGCCACAGTCTTAGTGTCAGTCTAAGTCTCTGTCTCAGTCTAAGTCTCAGTCTCAGTCTCAGTCTCAGTCTCAGTCTCAGTCGCAGTCTCAGTCTCAGTGTAAGAAGGCGGGTGTGAAACCAGGTGGAAGTGAGGAGTCAAGCATGCCAAGCATGGGTTGCGAACAGAATGGGGCAGAAGAAATGGAAGGGGGGACTTTCGTGTCTGACACACAGGTCATCTTGGAAGGAAAGGGCGGAAGGGGTGGATGCGTGTAGTATTCTTGTCCCAGCTGTCGTGTCGCCACGAGGGAAGCGTGTTGCGGGTTGAGCCCAAGTCATTGGAGGGAGGAGCCCTGCCCTGGCTGTGCTTTGAGGCTTGTGCGTTGTGGTGTTGCCATTTTTTTTTTTTCAGGTTTGTTTTTTTAGTCTGTCGCGATAAGGCAGGCTTCACTTCCGTTTATATTTAGTGTTGAGCACGTATGTGAAGTGGAAAGGTACCCTAGAATATCAATGTGACAGAATGCATCACAAGTTTCATTCGAAGAACTACTTAGAGTGTGTTCCTACACCTCGTATCAGACACACCTCGTATCAGCTTCGCGTGGTGAAATACGTTTCAGTGTGTTCGACTGCGGTTGGATGCGTTTAAGTGCGGTTCGACGCGAATCTAATACGAGGTTGCCTGATATGGGGCCGTAGGAGCTGTCAGATGTGGTAGTCTTAATGAGGTGTGTTATAGGGGGTACAACTGTTAGGGTTAGGTTTATGTACCCCAACCAACCTTAGTCAAACCAACACTTTAATTCTTGACATGGTATCACCTAGGTTAGGATCCTGTGGGATCCCGTTCCTCTCGTTCACGTCCGTAGCGCCCGAGCCTGTCCCGTACCCTAGTGCCCATCACGCCCCTAGCGCGTAGTCGACTGTTACCGCTGCGCCTGTTTCGTCCCGTCGCACCCTTAGCGCGTGCCCGTTCCGTTACGAAGCGCCCGTAGCGCTAGCACTCCCCGTAGCGTCACGTCCCCTGCCCGTCCCGTCCTCTGCCCGTCCCGTCCCCTGCTCGTCCCGTCCTCTGCCCGTCCCGTCTCCTGTCCGTCCCGTCCCCTGCCCGTCGCGTCCCCTGCCCGTCACGTCCCCTACCCGTCGCGTCCCCTGCCCGTCGCGTCCCCTGCCCGTCGCGTCGCGCTGCCAGTCCCGTCCCCTGCCCGTCGCGTCCCCTGCCCGTCGCGTCGCGCTGCCAGTCCCGTCCCCTGTCCGTCGCGTCCCCTGCCCGTCGCGTCACGCTGCCGTCCCGTCCCCTGCCCGTCGCGTCCCCTGCTCGTCGCGTCGCGCTGCCGTCCCGTCCCCCGTCCGTCGCGCCCCCGCTGCGCCCTGCCCGTCCGTGGCGCCCCGTGCGCCCTGCCCGTCCGTCGCGCCCCCGCTGCGCCCTGCCCGTCCGTCGCGCCCCAAGCGCCCTGCCCATCCGTCACGCCCCGTGCGCCCTGCCCGTTCGTCGCGCCCTGTGCGCTCTGCCCGTCCGCGCCTGTCGTGCCCGTCCCTGCCAGTTGCGTCCTGTCACGTCGCACCGCACTGTCTGTCACGCTCTACGCAGGCCCTTCAGTCGTTTAGGGTTTCGGCAACAGCAGTTCCCACCCTTTCGCTACTGCTATGGCGACCCCTAGGGTTCTGCGCTTTGACGCCGAGGGTAGGCTGCTTGAGTTCTCCGTCTGGCTCCTGCGTGCGCGCCGCCTTTTAGAGAGTCAGGTTCAGGCAGATGAGTCTCTGTGGGCGCACGCTTCTGGCGACCTTCCTAAGCCCGACGATCCTGCACCCTTAGGCACTGACCCTAGCGATGCAGCCAGAGATCGTTATGCCCGCCAGCGTGCTGACCTCACAGCGTGGAAGTCGAGTGACGCTGTGGCCTGCATCGCCCTTAGTAGCCTCCTCCCTGAGTCTGAGGAGGCCCACTTCACTCAGGTTCGCTCGGCTAGTGAGTTCCTGACTGCGATCAAGGCCCGCTACGCTACTCCCACCACTGTCTCTCTTGGTCGCCTGTTCCTCCCGTTCCTGTTTCCTGACCTCGCCTCGTTTGAGCGCTCTGCTGACTTGATCGCTCACTTGTGCTCGCTCGATTCCAGCTACCGCGCTGCCTGCATAGACGAACAGCTTGCACTGCTCCCTCCCCCTATGGCGATTACTATCTATTTCATCGCCACTAGCCTCCCTGACCGCCTTGCCTCGGTTCGTGACGCGCTTCTTCTGAAGCACCCTAGCGAGCTCACTATCGAGGTCCTTGAGTCTGCCCTCAAGGACGTCGAGAGCAACCTCCGCTCGGTTGCCTCCGCCTCTGGTGCTGTGCCCCCTCCACTGTTTCACGGGTGCACTGTCCCTCAGCTTCCCACCTTTACTGCCTCCCTTGCCACTGCCGCTACTGACGTGACCGCAGCTGCTGTTACGACTTCTTCGCGGTCTAGGGGTAGGAGCGGTAGGAGAGGCGGTCAGGGTGCAGGCGGAGGTGGCGGAGGCGGTGGGGGTGACGTGGCGAGCGGCGGCGGCGGGAGTGCAGGGGCTGGAGGAGCGCCTCGTGCAGCGGCTGGTGACTCCCCTGCTGCAGCTGGTGGAGGTGACGCCCGGGTTCGTCAGCCACCTACTGGTCTGCCAGCTGCAGGGGGTGGAGCAGCGGCGTGGTACCTGACTCAGCGACAACAACAGCAGCAGCAGCCCCTCCCCTCGCAGCAGCCACAGCAGCAGCAGCGGCAGCAGCAGGCTCCGGGGCAGGGGTCTGGACCGCGTCAGCTGTCGCGTGGTGCCATCCACCCTCCCTGCACCTATCTCGTTCAGACAGGTACTCACCGAGGCCTCCCCTGTGGCCGCACCCACCCACCGGGTCAATGCTTTGCTCAGCTCACTGACACACTTCGTGCGGCCTACGGGGTTGACGGCCCTGCCCCTGACTGGCTTCCCCTTGTTCAGCGATACGGCCCCGCTCTGTAAGGCATGTCGGCTTCTCAACTGCTTGATCTCTTAGGAACTCCTCATGCTATGAATGCTTTTGTTGACTCTAGTGCTTCTGACTCAGTTTACTCGAGTGTTGTTAGCTTAGGTGCTTGTGTTGCTGAGGTGCCTGTTGCTAGCGTAGGTACTAGTGTAGACACTAGTCCAGTAGCTGCTTCCGAGGACACTTCGCTGTCGTTCACTCTGGACTCCGGAGCTTCGCACTGTTTCTTCCGCGACCACACGACGCTTACTCCGCTTCCTGCGCCGGTCTCTGTAGCACTGGCTGGTCCCACTTCGGGACCAGTCACTGCTCGCTACACTACAACGCTTCCGTGCCCAGCAGTTCCCTCGGGTTTCCTGACGGGCTTCCACGTCCCCTCGTTCTCCAGGAACTTGGTGGGTGTGAGGCCGCCCGTGAGTAGTCACGTGGGTGTGTGGATTGAGCCTTCTGGCGAGACTGCGGTTTGTGTCGACGGGAACACGTACGCGCCAATGGCCACCTTTACCGCTGAGCCGGGCTCTGGTCTCTACACACTTCACACTGGCCCTCGGCAGCAGCAGCAGCAGCAGCAGCAACAGCTACTGCCCCCGACCACTGTCACTGCCCCCCATCAGGTCCCCCCGTCTCACCAGGTTGCCGCTTCTCACCAGGTAGCTGTGTCTGGTCAGGTTCCCGTGCCTGGTCCAGTTGCTGCGTCTTGCTCCTGCCGGTCACTTGCCCACCCCACCGTTCTGTGGCACCACCGGATGGGGCACCCGTCCATTCCTCGCATGCGCGCTATGTCTAGTCAGCGTCTTGTCTTAGGCCTCTCGCGAGTCTTGCCGTCGCTGCCGCCTTCGCTTGCACCACCTTGCGGTCCCTGTGTCGAGGGTCGGCTGCGCGCCACCCCTCACTCCTCCTCCCTTCGTCCGACCACCGAGCCCTTCGAGACTCTCCACTTGGACGTCTGGGGCCCCGCCCCTCGCCCTGGCCCTGAGCGAGAGAGTTTCTTTCTGGTGGTCGTTGACAACTACTCTCGCTACACCACAGTGTTCCCCCTGGCGAAGAAGTATGAGGTGGCTTCTACGCTGATCCGGTGGTTACTTACCACTGCGGACACTCGTGGTCGTCGTGTCAGCTGTCTTCACTCCGACCGTGGGGGTGAGTTTCGCTCCGGCATTCTCGCTGGATTCTGTCGCGAGCAGGGCATCCGTCAGTCCTGGACGCTTCCAGAGTCCCCATAGCAGAATGGGGTTGCTGAGCGCCGCATAGGCTTGGTCATGGAGATTGCACGCACCTCCATGATCCACGCCCGTGCGCCCCATTTTCTGTGGCCCTACGCGGTTTGGTACGCCGCTCACCAGCTGAACCTCTGGTCACGTGTCTCTCGGCCAGAGGCTTCACCGACCAGTCTTTGGACCGGGTCCCCTGGTGTTGCGTCGCGTTTTCGTGTCTGGGGCTGCTTGGCGCTTGTTCGCGACACCTCCGCGGATAAGCTCTCCCCTCGCGCCCTTCCCTGTGTCTTCCTTGGTTTCCCCGTGGACTCCTCTGACTTCACCTTTTACCACCCTCCCCTTCACCGGTTCTTTGACTCCCGCGACGTTCGTTTTGTCGAGTCAGTCCCCTACTACACCCGGTACCCCTGTCGAGGTCTTTCGGTTCCTCCTCCCCCTCTCTTCCTGACTCCCGCCCCCCCTCCTGCCCCTCCGGTACAGCCCCCCCCCCCCCTGGTCCAGCCCCGTCAGGTGTGTCACACGCTACCCCTCCCCACTCGGTAGCCCCTCAGGTGTCGTCCCCTTCCCCACAGTCCTCCTCACAGCCTACTGCAGACCCTGCGGGAGCAGGTGCTCGTGTCGAGGACCCTGGGGGTGCTACCTCTGGAGGGGTTGGAGTTGGAGCTGAGAGTGTGCCTTCACGAGGTTCTGATGCCGGGGGTGCTGGCGTTGGAGCTGAGCCCGAGTCTGCAGGAGGTTCTAGTCTTCAGGGAGCTGGTGTTCGTCGCGCTGTCCCTGGGGGTGCTACGACTGGGGGTGCGGGTGCGCCCCCTACGGGACCGGGAGAGTCTGGGACTGGCCGTGTTGCTACTGGTGGTGCTGGCTCTGGGGGTGGTGTGACTGGTTCTTTGGAGGGCGGTCCTGGGGCTACCACCGCTTCGGACACTACTCCTCCCCCCCACCCCTACACGGCTTGGCACCAGGCCCGTGTTCGCCGTGCCCGTGAGGAGCAGCTGGAGTCGGAGCGAGAGGAGAGAGAGTTGGAGCGGCAGCAGCTGGAGCTACAGCGGCTGGAGGAGCCGCAGCAGCAACAGCCGGAGCAGCAGCAGCAGCAGCAGCAGCAGCAGCAGCAGCAGCAGCAGCCGGAGCAGGAGCAGCCGCAGCAGCAGCCGCAGCAGCAGGAGCAGCAGCAGCCGCCACCTCCTCCTCCTGTCTCTGGTCTTCGGACCCTCGGTCTCCCCTCTCCCTCTCCTCCCTCCTCCCCCTCTCCTCCCGTCTCTGGTCCTCCGCTTCCTCCTCCTGACCCCTCCGCAGCTGTTTTCCCTCCTCCTCTACCCCCGTTGTCCCCTCCTCTTTCTCACACTTGGTCTTCGCGTCGCTCTCCTCGTACTCGTCCCTCGTCTCCTGTTCCCTTCACTGACCTTCGTACTGCCCTGTTTCGTTCTAGTCCGCCTCGTTCGTCTCCTTCTGTACTTCCTTCTCCTCCTGAGTCGGCTCTCACTGCTTCCCTCTCTACTCCTGTCACAGACTACTACCGCACGTACCGCCCTGTTTTCTCTCGTGTTCTCGCCTCTCTTGTTACCGACCCACGTGCTTCTCCGTCCTCTGTCTCCGCTCTTACTGCCGCAGTCACTGAGTTTGCCTCTACTCGCCGCCTTGACTACGCCACCAGTCTTGTGGCTGCTCCTCCTACCAGTCCTCTGGCCGTCGGGGGTGAGTCTGCCCTTGGCTGTGACGCCCTAGAGGACAGGCAGTTTGAGCTAGAGTTCCTGGCAGCCGCTTCCCCTCATCTCTGTGCCATGCTGCTCGCCCCTGAGGGAGACCCCGGACATACCGACTCCTCGCACTTACGCTGAGGCAGTGTCAGGGCCTTGGGCCTCTCAGTGGAGAGCTGCCATGGACTCAAAGATGGCCTCCTACAGGTCCACAAACACTTACGTCGACGAGGTTCCCCCCCCTGGGGCGAACGTAGTCGATGGCATGTGGATCTTCAGAGTGAAGCGGCCACGGGGATCTCCTCCGGTCTTCAAGGCGCGCTATGTGGCTAGAGGTTTCAGTCAGCGCGAGGGAGTTGACTTCTTTCAGACCTTCGCGCCTACCCCGAAGATGACCACTCTTCGGGTGTTACTGCACGTAGCAGCACAGAGAGACTACAAGTTACACTCTATCGACTTCTCTACTGCTTTCAGGGTAGCCTACACGAGGAGGTCTGGCTGCGTCGTCCCTCTGCCTTCACTGGCACTTTCCCTCCTGGGACCCAGTGGAGGCTGAGGCGACCGGTCTACGGTCTCCGTCAGGCTCCTCGTGAGTGGCACGACACCCTTCGTTCTACCCTGTCTGGCCTCGGTTTCCAGCCGTCTTCTGCCGACCCGTCGCTGTTTGTTCGGCGTGACTCCACGCCGTTCTTTGTACTGGTCTACGTCGACGACCTGGTTTTCGCCACTGCTGACAGGGTTGCTTTGGCTGACGTGAAGCGCGAACTGGAGAAGAGACATACGTGCACTGACCTTGGTGAGCTGCGCCACTACCTTGGCTTGCAGATCACCAGGGACAGAGCCGCTCGCACCATTACACTCTCACAGTCACACATGGTGCAGCAGGTCCTTCAGCGGTTCGAGCTTCATCACTCCAAAGTACAGCGCACACCTCTTGCTGTTGACCACAGACTCACTGGACCCTTCCCTGACGAGCCGTTTGAGCCTAGTGGTCCTTACGCAGAGCTTGTGGGCTGCCTCATGTACCTGATGACTTGTACTCGCCCGGACCTCGCCTTCCCTCTCAGCATCCTGGCTCGCTTTGTTGCACCAGGGAGACACCGTCGAGTTCACTGGACAGATGCTGTGAGGGTGGCGAAGTACCTAGCGACGACATCAGGCGTGGGGCTGGTTCTTGGAGGGCAGCAGTCTGTTGTACTTACTGGACACTGTGACTCTTCTTACGCTGACGACGCCGAGACTCACAGGTCTACTCAGGGGTACTGTTTCAGCCTGGGCTCTGGAGCTGTTTCGTGGAGGTCCACGCGTTCCTCCTCGGTCTCGACCTCTACCGCTGAGGCTGAGATCTACGCTGGAGCCATGGCTGCACAGGATCTGCGTTGGTTGACCTTCTTGCTCACCGACCTTGGTGAGCAGCCGAGCTCTGCACCGACCTTGTTCACTGACAACAAGGCGTCGATTCTCCTTTGTCGAGAACCGCGACTGGAGAGCAGAGTGAAGCACATCAACGTCAGGTACTTTCTTCTGCGAGAGTTGCAGAGGCGTGGACATGCTCGCTTCGACTTTGTGGAGTCCGAGGCCAACACTGCAGACATCTTCACCAAGGCGCTTCCGCCTTGTGACCACCAGAGGTGTTGTGTGCAGTTAGGTCTCGTTGACACAGGTTCTCGCCTTACGTTGTCTTGAGTTCTCTGCTTGCCTTGTTTGTACGCTTTATATATACCTCTGTGAACTCTTGAACTAGCCTTGTGGCTCTTTTGCTTGTGCTCGGAGTGTGTGGTGACGTTGCGATCCACCCTGAGCTTTGTTTCGTTGTGACTGGTCTTGTGACCGTACACTTTTGGTTTTGCTTGACACCCCTCACTTAGACTATGGGGGTGTGTCAGAGGTGGTAGTCTTAATGAGGTGTGTTATAGGGGGTACAACTGTTAGGGTTAGGTTTATGTACCCCAACCAACCTTGGTCAAACCAACACTTTCATTCTTGACAGGAACACGCTCTTAGCTATATCGAATGTGCAAATAGTTTTATATTAACCCTCTGTCCGTATGCACAGAATCAACCAAGAGAACAGCACAGACAAGCCTCCAAGCCTCCAAGTAGTGTCATGTTGCACCGTATGACATGAAGAGGTGTGAAGCTATAACAAGTATTGTCCCGTTCCAGCACGTTTACAGGAAAAGAAAATGTAAGGCACTATACATGAACCTCCCTCGTACAGCCTGTCTCGAAGCTGTCAGGCTTGGGGGGGGGGGGGGGGGGGGGGGCGACAACTGATGGAAAAATATATTCACCCAGTAGTGCTCGGTAGCGCTGTATATGTCGTGTATATAATTTCACACCCCTTAAGCGCACACCCTGGGGTAAATACTATCGGTTAAACGTTTAAGTAGGGTAGCAAGCAACGATTGTAGACCATCGGAGGAGGGGGTCTCGCAACCTTCTCGCGAATGGAAGAAAAGAAACCGGAGTTCCAAGGGCAGCCATCCACCCCTACTACTCACTCGGATAATTAAGTGCGAGACTCGATAACTACCCTCGTCAATCTTTGGGTGTCCGTCACATCGAGACAGAAAACGTACAGGGTACCTTCGAAATAGGGGGTAGGGGGTGTGCAATTATCGAGAATAGGGTGTAGTACATCAGAATCACGCGGCGAGGGTGCTAGCATCCAGCAATCCCTTTTCGCAGCGTTCGTTCGCTCCTTCATTCGTTCGTTCGTTCGTTCGCTCGGTCATCGTTCGTTCATGCATCAGACCACCTCCCAGCTTCTACGTGCTGATTCGTCGCTCATTATTCGCACACTGTTTGCACATTTCCCTAGTCGCGTCGCGTGCATATCAAGGATGCATTGCACCTGGACAGGCCAAGCGTTGGGAGAGTTAACTTAACGTCAGTGCTGCCAGCCTTTTAACCGCGTGGCGTGTCGGGCTGTTCGCGTTCGCGCCGCCGTTGGCGAGACTCGCGATTCGACCGTTGGCGGCAACGGCTACTTGTGAACTCGTCTCTGCAAGTTACCGCGCTTCTCCCCCGCCCTCCCTCCCCTCTTACCCCCACTTCCCCACCTCCCGCTCCCCCTCCCCCTCCCCCTCCCGCTCCCCCTCCCCCCCCCCCCCCCCTCCCCCTTCCCTTCCCCGCGAAATACGGAGAGCCATCATGAGCGAGTCCGCGGTTCTTGCGCGCCACGCCCATCCCACCTGCATGCCGCGCCTCCCCTGCATTTCCCCCGCTTCCGCTTCCGCCAAGCATGCCGCCGCCGCGCTCCTCCTTTCCCCCGAAGGTCGCGGCGGGCAACCCGATTCGAGCGCGACGGAAGAGGGGAAGAGCGCAGAAGCGCAACGCGCGTGCCGCGTGAGCGTGGCGGTTCTGGCTGTAAAAGATTTGAAGGATGGGGCGATTAAGGACGTCACCGACGCGGCGCGGCAGGCTGCTAATCTTCTGCAAGTGCCGACTATGGCGCTGATTAAAGTGGAAAACTCACACTTTTGCACCAAGGAGATCAAGGGGAAGTCGGCGGAGGGTAAGGGGAAGGCGGGGGAGAAGGGGGGGAAAAAGGGCAAGGGGGGAAATGGAAAAGGGGGAACGGCGGACGGGGAAGCGCAAGCGGAAGCGCAGACGGTTGAAGCGCAAGCGGAAACGCAGGGGGAAGCTCTTTCGGGGGAAGCGCTTTCGGGGGAAGCGCAATCCGCGGAAGGGCTGATAGAAGTCAACCAGGGCCACGCGTTCACAGTAAAAGACGAAACCACCGCGACCGTGTCCGTCGCGCTCGTGCACTGCGCGCTGGGGCGCGGCGCGGTGGCGATCGGGCTGAAGCAGGTCGTAGGCGCCATAGAGCCCCTCTCCGTCGCGTCGCTCCTCGAGCTCGATCCGGATAAAGCGGTCGAGCCGCGGTGGCACGAGCTCCGCGCGCCGACGGGGAGGAAGGGCGCGGTCGTGGGGCGCGTTCTACTGCAGGCGGTGGCGGCGCGCGCGCCTCCGGAGCAGCGCGTGTCGCTTTTCATTGGCTCCTGGAACGTGGGGAACGCGCCGCCCGCGGCGGATCTCTCCCCGTGGCTCCCCGTGGGCGGCAAACACGATCTGATCGCGATCGGATCGCAGGAGTGCGATTATCCGCCGCGCGCGGGGCATGCCACGTGTATGGACGACTGGGTGGCGTGTATCCGGACGCATTTCGGCCCTAGATACCGCGTGGTAAAGGGCGCTTCGAGAGGGCAGATGCGCCTCGTCGTCCTCGTTTTAGACTCCTCCCAACGGGCCGTTACCAATGTGGTGGTAACCAGCGAGGCGACGGGGATCGGGCACGTGATAGCGAATAAGGGCGCTGTGTGCGTGTCTCTAAGGTTCTGGGACACTCCGTTGTGTTTTATTAACTCACATTTGGCGGCGCATGAGGGGCAGTGCGGCGCGAGGAACGATAATTACCGGGAGGTGGTTCAGAACATGCGGCCGGGGCTTTCAAGTGTGGACCTGTTGAACCAGTTCCACCACCTGTTCTGGATGGGCGATTTGAACTACCGCCTGACTCTTCTGGATTCTGCCCACCCGCCTGCTGCTGCTGGTGGAGGGTCAGCGCTGTCGTTGCCCTCAGCTGTCTCTTTCCCGGCTTCTGCTGCTGCCGCCGCCGGTGCTGCCGGTGCTGCCGCTGGTGCTGCTGCTGGCGCCGTTGCTGCCAGCGCCGGTGCTGCTGCTGGTGCTGCTGCTGGTGCTGCTGCTGGCGCCGTTGCTGCTGGTGCCGGCGCTGCTGTTGCTGCTGCTACTGCTTCTTACCGTGCCATTGCCGCTGCTGCTTCCGGTGGTGCTGGTGCTGCTTCCCGTGCCGGCCCTGCTTTCAGCGGGAGAGCTCTCGACCAATTAGACGATGACAGCTCAGAGGACGAAGAAGATTCCAGCAGCGGTAATGATGACGACGAAGCTGGGGTGGAGGCTCGGGAGGCTCAGAAGGCTCGGGAGGTTCAGAAGGCTCGGGAGGCTCGGGAGGCACAGGAGGCTCGGGAGGCTGACGGTGTTGATGCCGAACCTCGGAAGGAGGCTCGGAAGAGGGGCAGCGTCGGGAGCTCAGGGGAGATTCTAAAAGGGTTTCTAAAGTCAACAAGGGGCAGCTTCAACACGATTCTCGATCTGGGCAGCTCGAGAAAAACTTCTTCTCCGGGCAGCAGCACAAAAGTCAACGGGAAAATGCCTCCCCCGAATAGCCCCAGTAAAGAGGAAGAAAGTAGCGCGGGAATGAGTGGGAAAGGAGGAGGGGCCAAGCCGGGCGCGAGTCGCATGAACAAGAGCTCTAGTGGTGGTGACGTGGCAGCAGGGGAGGGGGCAGAAGCGGGCGCTGCGATTGGTGCAAGCCTCCGGAGCTCCCCCGGGGGGGATTTCTCCAACGGGCGGGAGGCGGGGGGCGGAATGGGCGCGGGGGCGGGGGAAAGGGGGAATGGAGGGGGGGAGGGCGGGATTGGGGAGGGGGAAGCGGTTGGGGAGGAGAGGAACGGGGATGGTGGTGGGATGAGTGGAGGACAGTTGAGTCCGATGCTGGGAGGAGGAGGGGAGGGGACGAGAGAGGAAGGAAGGGGGGGGACGCCTGGGGAAGGGGGTTCGACGCCGGGAGGAGGGGAGGAAGGGGACTCGACACCGAAAGAGGGGCACAAACGCGTGCTGAGCGCGGGGAGCCTGGCGTTGTTCCGCGGAGGGGGAGGGGGGAGTCACGAGAAGGTCAGCAAGGCGGCATCTGCGCCGTCGCTGACGTCAAAGAAATCACTGGAGAAGCAAGCGTGAGTGTGGGGGGGGGGTTAGGGGGGGAAGGGGAGATGGTGCTGCGGAGAAAGGAGCGTCGTTGACGTCAAAGAAATCACTAGAGAAGCAAGCGTGAGTGTGCAGGGGGGAGGTGTGTGTGGGGGGGGTAGAGAGTGGGGGGAGGGAGGGAAGGGCAAAGGGGGCACAAGTGGCAAGGCGGTATCTGCACCGTCGTGGACATCAAAGAAATCGCTGGAGAAGCAAGCGACGTTTTTGAGAATTCTCAAAAACACCCTGCACCGTCATTGTCGTCAAAGAATTTGCTGGAGAAGCAAGCGTGCGTGTGGGGGGATGGGGAGGGGGGTGGGGCTGAGTTGGGGGAGGGAAGGGGGAGAGGAGGGCAGGGGAAGGGGCAAGAGAGGAGCGCGAGTGTGGAAAGGGGGGAGGAAGGGGAGACAAGTCCCTGTCGTCCAAGAAATTGCCGCAGTGACACGTGAGTGTGGGGGGGGCAGGGGACAGGGGGTAGAGAGGAGCGCGCGTGTTGGGAAAGGGAGAGACGAGCGTGAGTGTGGAAGGGGGGAGGTAGAGGAGAGAGGGGAGAGGGAGGGAGTGGTGAGGAGTGGGGGGAGGGAGGAGGGTAAGTGGGGACATGATTGGGTCGGAGGGCAAGGTACAAGGGGAAGGGTGGGGAAGGGGGGTGTGGCTGGGCTGAACTCACGTTTGAGAATTCTCACATGTGGCTGGGCCCTTGCAGTAGGAGAAATTATTTCCGGGCAGAAAAAGGTGACTCCGAGGGGCTGGTGGGGAGAGAGGAAGGATGAGAGAGGGAAGAGTATGAGTAGGTTGAGGGTGGTGGGGAGTGGTGGACAAGGAGGAGGAGGAGGGGAGAGAAATTGGGAGAGGGAGGGGGTGAGTGGAGGAGGGGGAGGAGGATAGCGAGAGTCTGGGATGGGAGGGAGGGACAGGGGAGGGGAAGTGGGAAAGTAAATCCTAAACCCTTAACCCGAATTTTAACTGTTTGCCCACACCCTTCCCTCCACCCACCTTTTCCCGCTCCCTTTTCCTACGCCCATCCACTTCTCCACACTACCCTGCGTCCCCCCTTCCCTCTGCCCCACTCCTCCCTCTGCCCCGCTCCTCCCTCTGCCCCACTCGTCCCTCTGTCCCACTCCTCCCTCTGCCCCACTCCTCCCTCTGCCCCGCTCCTCCCTCTGCCCCACTCGTCCCTCTGTCCCACTCCTCCCTCTGCCCCACGCTTCCCTCGGGCCACTGTTGCAGGCGCGCGGCGGTGCATGGGAGTGTGTTGGAGCAGATTCGGAACAAGGAGTTTGACGCTCTGCTGGAGTACGATGAGGTACGGCGCGGTGCAGAGCGGTGCGCTGCCCGTCCGCCCCCCAACCCCAATCCCTCACCCCCCTCCCTCCCCTTTCAAAAGAATGAAATAAAATAAACAGAACTTGAGCAGTGTGTGTGTGCATGCAGGCATCAATGCTCACCTGCCTCTGTACCTCACATCACATCACATCACATCACATCGCATCCCATCCCATCGCATCCCATCCCATCGCATCCCATCCCATCCCATCCCATCCCATCCCATCCCATCCCATCCCATCCCATCCCATCCCATCCCATCCCATCCCATCCCATCGCATCCCATCCCATCCATCCCATCCCATCCCATCCCATCCCATCCCATCCCATCCCATCCCATCCCATCCCATCCCATCCCATCCCATCCCATCCCATCCCATCCCATCCCTTCCCATCCCATCCCATCCCATCCCATCCCATCGCATCCCATCCCATCCCATCCCATCCCATCCCATCCCATCCCATCCCATCCCATCCCATCCCATCCCATCCCATCCCATCCCATCCCATCCCATCGCATCGCATCACCTGCCTCCCATGCATCCCTCCAATGCCGCATCCCTCCAATGCCGCATCCCTCCAATGCCGCATCCCTCCAATGCCGCATCCCTCCAATGCCGCATCCCTCCAATGCCGCATCCCTCCAATGCCGCATCCCTCCAATGCCGCATCCCTCCAATGCCGCATCCCTCCAATGCCGCATCCCTCCAATGCCGCATCCCTCCAATGCCGCATCCCTCCAATGCCGCATCCCTCCAATGCCGCATCCCTCCAATGCCGCATCCCATCCCTCCAATGCCGCATCCCTCCAATGCCGCATCCCTCCAATGCCGCATCCCTCCAATGCCGCATCCCTCCGATGCCGCATCCCTCCGATGCCGCATCCCTCCGATGCCGCATCCCTCCGATGCCGCATCCCTCCGATGCCGCATCCCTCCGATGCCGCATCCCTCCGATGCCGCATCCCTCCGATGCCGCATCCCTCCGATGCCGCATCCCTCCGATGCCGCATCCCTCCGATGCCGCATCCCTCCGATGCCGCATCCCTCCGATGCCGCATCCCTCCGATGCCGCATCCCTCCGATGCCGCATCCCTCCGATGCCGCATCCCTCCGATGCCGCATCCCTCCGATGCCGCATCCCTCCGATGCCGCATCCCTCCGATGCCGCATCCCTCCGATGCCGCATCCCTCCGATGCCGCATCCCTCCGATGCCGCATCCCTCCGATGCCGCATCCCTCCGATGCCGCATCCCTCCGATGCCGCATCCCTCCGATGCCGCATCCCTCCGATGCCGCATCCCTCCGATGCCGCATCCCTCCGATGCCGCATCCCTCCGATGCCGCATCCCTCCGATGCCGCATCCCTCCGATGCCGCATCCCTCCGATGCCGCATCCCTCCGATGCCGCATCCCTCCGATGCCGCATCCCTCCGATGCCGCATCCCTCCGATGCCGCATCCCTCCGATGCCGCATCCCTCCGATGCCGCATCCCTCCGATGCCGCATCCCTCCGATGCCGCATCCCTCCGATGCCGCATCCCTCCGATGCCGCATCCCTCCGATGCCGCATCCCTCCGATGCCGCATCCCTCCGATGCCGCATCCCTCCGATGCCGCATCCCTCCGATGCCGCATCCCTCCGATGCCGCATCCCTCCGATGCCGCATCCCTCCGATGCCGCATCCCTCCGATGCCGCATCCCTCCGATGCCGCATCCCTCCGATGCCGCATCCCTGCAATGCCGCATCCCTCCAATGCCGCATCCCTCCAATGCCGCATCCCTCCAATGCCACACTCCCTCCAATGCCGCATCCCTCCAATGCCAAACTCCCTCCCCCTGCATGCCTGCAGCTTCAGAGGGAGATTCGGGAGGGCCGAGGCTTCTACAAGTTTCAAGAGGCCTCCATCACCTTCGCCCCCACCTTCAAGGCAAGCTGCTGTGTTTTGCTGCAAGCCGCTCTGCCTTGGCTGCAAGCTCCCCTGCGCGAATCTTGGCTTCCTTTCTTTCAATTTCGTTGCACAGAAACGTGCACAGCTTATCAACTTTTGTTATTTGGTTTGCTGAATGCTCTTTATGGGTTTTCTCTGCTTGTACCTCTTTCACGAGTTCACCGATCCTAACCCCCCTCACATCCCTCCACAGAGGGGACTTTTGAGTCGACTCAAAAGTCACCTCTTCTCACGAGTTCACCGATCCTAACCTAACCCCCCTCACATCCCTCCACAGGTCATCCGCAATGAGGTGGGTAAATACAACAGCAAGCGGTTACCAGCGTGGTGCGACTGAGTCCTCTGGCGCTTGCTGCCCTGCCCGGCTGCCACCCTGCTGCCTTGGCTTCCCTTTTCCCACCTCTCCCCTCGCCTCCCTTCTTCCCCATCAGGTGATTCGCAACGAAGTGGGTAAATACAACACCAAGCGGTTACCAGCGTGGTGCGACCGCATTCTCTGGCGCTCCCTGCCCGGCTGCCAGCTGGGTTGCACGCGCTACGACGGCGCTCACGACGTGGGGAGCAGGTGGGGAAGGGCGGGGCCGCAAAAGGGGGGGAATGGAGAGAAGGTGGGGAGCAGGTGGGGAGCAGAGCAGGTGAGGAGCAGGTGGGAGAGGGAAGGTATGGAAGGTGTGATACATACAAAGTAAGTTTGACCTGGTGGGACTGGTGGGACTGGTGGGACTTATGCTCTCCAGGTGGGACTGGACCCTGCACACGCCTCTCTGGTACCTTCAAACCGCACTCCACTCCCTTCCACACATTCCCCTCCCATTCCTGTCACCCAGCGACCACAAGCCAGTGTTGGCAGAGAGTGTGACCTCACCACTTATGCTCTCTCCCAGTCGGGCTAGTTTTCAGGCGCCTCAAAAATCGTCAAGTGTTGGCAGAGAGATTGAGCTCATCACTTATGCTCTCCCAGTTGGGCCGGACCCTAAAATGCTCTCCCACAGTCCCATTCAAACCGCACTCCACTCCCTCCGACTCCTTCCCCTCCCTTTCCCCCCCTCCCAGCGATCACAAGCCAGTGCTGGCTGAGTTTGAGCTCACCACTTATGCTCTCCCAGTGGGGCTAGACCCGGCTGACCCTTTCCCTTTAGCTAGTCCCTTTAAACCGCACTCCATTCCCTCCCACTCCCCCTTGCTCGCTCCTATCTCCCCGCTCCCAGCGACCACAAGCCAGTGCTGGCTGAGTTTGAGCTCACCACTTATGCTCTCCCAGTGGGGCTAGACCCGGCTGACCCTTTCCCTTTAGCTAGTCCCTTTAAACCGCACTCCATTCCCTCCCACTCCCCCTTGCTCGCTCCTATCTCCCCGCTCCCAGCGACCACAAGCCAGTGCTGGCTGAGTTTGAGCTCACCACTCACGCCCTGCCGGTCGGGTTAGACCCCGCTGATGCCTCGCTCGTGGCGGAGGAGGGGGTGGTGGGTGCCGTGGCACGTCGGCTGCACCGCAGTGCGTCGTCCCGCCATGGTGACATGCGCTGGAACGTGCAGGTGGGCGTGGGGGGGTAGGGATGGGGATGGCACATGAACGTGCAGTTGGGCGTGGGGGGGTAGGGATGGGGATGGCACATGAACGTGCAGGTGGGCGTGGGGGGGTAGGGATGGGGATGGCACATGAACGTGCAGGTGGGCGTGGGGGGGTAGGGATGGGGATGGCACATGAACGTGCAGTTGGGCGTGGGGGGGTAGGGATGGGGATGGCACATGAACGTGCAGGTGGGCGTGGGGGGGTAGGGATGGGGATGGCACATGAACGTGCAGTTGGGCGTGGGGGGGTAGGGATGGGGATGGCACATGAACGTGCAGGTGGGCGTGGGGGGGTAGGGATGGGGATGGCACATGAACGTGCAGTTGGGCGTGGGGGGGTAGGGATGGGGATGGCACATGAACGTGCAGTTGGGCGTGGGGGGGTAGGGATGGGGATGGCACATGAACGTGCAGGTGGGCGTGGGGGGGTAGGGATGGGGATGGCACATGAACGTGCAGTTGGGCGTGGGGGGGTAGGGATGGGGATGGCACATGAACGTGCAGGTGGGCGTGGGGGGGTAGGGATGGGGATGGCACATGAACGTGCAGTTGGGCGTGGGGGGGTAGGGATGGGGATGGCACATGAACGTGCAGGTGGGCGTGGGGGGGTAGGGATGGGGATGGCACATGAACGTGCAGTTGGGCGTGGGGGGGTAGGGATGGGGATGGCACATGAACGTGCAGGTGGGCGTGGGGGGGTAGGGATGGGGATGGCACATGAACGTGCAGTTGGGCGTGGGGGGGTAGGGATGGGGATGGCACATGAACGTGCAGTTGGGCGTGGGGGGGTAGGGATGGGGATGGCACATGAACGTGCAGTTGGGCGTGGGGGGGTAGGGATGGGGATGGCACATGAACGTGCAGGTGGGCGTGGGGGGGTAGGGATGGGGATGGCACATGAACGTGCAGGTGGGCGTGGGGGGGTAGGGATGGGGATGGCACATGAACGTGCAGTTGGGCGTGGGGGGGTAGGGATGGGGATGGCACATGAACGTGCAGTTGGGCGTGGGGGGGTAGGGATGGGGATGGCACATGAACGTGCAGGTGGGCGTGGGGGGGTAGGGATGGGGATGGCACATGAACGTGCAGTTGGGTGGGGGGATGGGGATGGCTGGGGATGGGGCAAGGTGAGAGGTAAGAGGTGGCATGTGCTTGGGTGTGGGTCTGGTGGCGTGCCGGCTGCACCGCAGTGCCTCGTCCCGCCATGGTGACATGCGCTGGCACGTGCAGTTGGGCGTGGGGGGGTAGGGATGGGGATGGCACATGAACGTGCAGTTGGGTGGGGGGTCTGGCTGGGGATGGGGTAAAGTGAGAGGTAAGAGGTGCCACGTGCTGGGGCGTGGGTGTGGGAACGCGCCGGCTGCACCCCAGTGCTTCGTCCCGCATGCTGGGGACATGCGCTGGCACGTGCAGTTGGGTGGGACGGCACCGCTCCTTATAACACCCCACCACACCCCACCACATCTCACCCCTCTCTGTGCATCCCTCATGAACGCTGACCTCCTGCCACTCCATGATGACCCCTTTTTCCTCACCGCTCACCACTCACCACCGTTCCTCACCACTGCTCACCCCTCTCCGTGCAGTTCTCATCCCTCCTGGACTCCCTTATGACCCCCCTCTCTCACTACGCACCACGCCTCACCGCTGTGCACCGCTCCCCACCACCCCCCACCCCTCTCCGTGCAGTTCTCATCCCTCGTGGGTTCTGACCTGCTCTCAGCTGACGCAAATGGCCTCTCCGACCCGTGAGTCTCCCTCACCCCTCTCAACCCCAGTGGATGCCTGTCAACCCCTGGGGCTGCCTCTGAACCCCTGTGTATACCTCTGAACCCTCTCCGGATACCTGTGAACCCCTTCGGTTCGTTCGTACTTGCTCCTTCCTCCACATTTCTCCCTGCCTGATGCACCCATCTCACAGCACCCATCTCACAGCACCCATCTTACAGCACCCACCCTACTCCTTCCCACACGTATCTCCTCAGGCCACTCGAGTTGATGGAAGTAAAGCCTCCGCAGCCCACCTGTCCTCCTCCATCAAGTGCTGCACCCATCTCACAGCACCCACCCTACTCTTTCCCTTTTCCCCCTTCTCCACTGCAGCTGCCTCAGGGGCGCCTCACACGACCCTTCTCTTCTCCCCTCGTCCTCTCGTCTCCTCTCCCGTTTCCCCCCCTCATCCCCTCCACTTTTCCCAGCTACATGCGGTTTACGAGACCCAATCTGCAGCACAGCTGCCACACCAAGCCGTAGAGGCACCTTGCAGCACTCTTCTCATTCCCCCCGTCTCCCCTCTTCCTCACCCTCCCAGATACGTGCGATTCACGGGACCCAATCTGCAGCACAGCTGCCACACCAAGCCGCGCTACAAGACACTCAACCCTGTGTGGACGCCCGAGGTGCGTGAGAGTGACTGCGTGGCTGCAAGGGTGCAAGCGTGAGTGTGCGAAGGTGCAAAGCATTAGAAGCTTGCGTTGTAGCACAGCTGCCACACCAAGCCGCGCTACAAGACACTCAACCCGGTGTGGACGCCGGAAGTAAGTGAAGGGGGAGGGGAGGGTGTGAGTGGGGGGGCGCGAGGCCTTTGAGGTTTCCATCGCAGCATAGCTCAGCACTCACACCAAGCCGCGCTACAAGACACTCGACCCCGTGTGGACGCCGGAGGTGAGAAAGAGTTGGAGTGCAAGTGGTGTGCGAGGGGGCGAGGCCAATAACAGGGGCTCTGGTGCACGGCTGTCACACCAAGTGACCAAGCCGCGCTACAAGACGCGCAACCCCGTGTGGACGCCCGAGGTGCGTGAGAGTGAGCGTGCAAGTGTGGGGCTGCGAGTGTGAGGGGGTGAGTGTGAGTGTGCCAGGATGCGAGGTTTCAGGAGTGCGCATTGCAGCACACAGCAGTCACACCAAGCCTCGCTACAAGACACTCAACCCTGTTTGCACGCCGGAGGTGGGTGAGAGTGAGGGTGTGAGTGACCGTGAGTGTGATTTGAGTGTGACGAGTGTGTGAGAGGGTGCGAGGTTTTAGAAGTTTGCGTTGCAGCACACAGCTCTCACACCAAGCCTCACCACAAGACACTCGACCCTGTGTGGACGCCCGAGGTGGGTGAGGAGTGTGGGTGTGGGAGTGTGAGAGTAAGGGTGCGAGTGTGAGGGTGCAAGATAGTGTGTCGGTCTGAGCGTGCGAGTTTGAGGGTGTGATTGTGAGTGTGAGTGTGCAAGTTTGAGGGTGCGAGTGTGAGTGTGAGTGTGCAAGTAAGTGTGAGTGCGCGAGTTTTAGTGTGGTTGTGAGTTTGAGTGTGGGACTTTGATTGTGAGGGTGTGAGCGTGACGTTGAGTGAGTGTGAGGGTGCAAGTCTGCGGGTGCAATTGTAAGTCTGAGAGTGAGGGTTCGAGCATGTGTATGCGTGAGAGTGTGATTTTGAGTGGCCAAACGTGAGGGTGTGAGTGTGAGGGTGAGTGTGAGTGTGAGTGTGAGGGTGCTACTGCGAGAGTTAATGTGAGCGTGCAATTGCAAGAGTTAGTGTGAGGGTGCGAAAGACTGAAAACCATGTGGACGAAGGAGGTGAGTCTGAATGTGAGTGCGAGGGTGCGAAGGTGAGTACAAAAGTCACTGTGTGAGTGCGAGGGTGCGAATGTGAGTGTGCAAGTGAGGGTGCAAGTGTGAGTGTGAGAATGTGAGAGTGTGGGTGCGAGTGTGACTGTGAGTGAGTGATTGAGTGAGTGAGTGTGTTTATGACTGAGAGGCATTCACCTGCTGCTGTCTGATTTTCACGGTCACTTGCTCCTCCTCCCACCACCCACTCACCCCTCCTCCCACCACCCTCTCGCCCTAACCCCCCCACAGGATATTCCTAGTGCAGTCTTGGAGAACCTTTCGTTACAGTCACATGAGAAGGACTACCTGCTGGCAGCCATTCTAGACCATGACGTCACCAACCAAGACGACCCCATTGGTACGTGAATCGAATCTGGCTGATACTGTACATTTGACTTTTGAGTCGACTCAAAAGTCAAAGGTATGTGAATCGAATCTGGCTGATACTCTACATTTCTTACCCCCATCTTGTCTAGTTTTGAGGCGCCTCACAACAGGACGTCACCAACCAAGATGACCCCACAGGTGCGTGCATTTGGGGATACTGTACATCTATTTATATTTAAAATTCTATAATATTTACTATAATAGGTACTCGCAAGTTCAACTACAGTGTCACTCATACCCATGGTTGTACATAGAACGGCCTGTATGTGCATTAGTGGCCTGTATGCTCTGTGCACTGCACCTGTTATGTGCCATGTGTATGTATGTGCGCCCCCTGCTCCGTCTCGTTGGCCCCCAGCCGCACACGCTCTGAGAGCCAACGACCCCCTTCTGAGTCGACTCTAAGAAATGTCTATCCCGTCTGCCTCCTCGCCTTGCTGCCTTCATGCTTTGCAGCCTCCGTCCCGTTGGCCCCAGCAGTGCCCGCGTTGAGAGCCAATGGGTGATTCCTGAGTCAATAAAAAAATGTCTATCCCGTCTGCCTCCTCTTGCTGCTTTCAGGTTTTGCAGCCATCCCATCGGCCCCAGCTGTGCTCGCTTTTAGAGCCAATGGCTGATTTTTTAGCCAACTAAAACAAAGTGAATCCCATCCGCTCCCTTTTCTTGTTTCTTTCAGGTTTCACAACCATCCCTCCGGCCCCAGCCGTGCACGCCAGCCAGCAATGGCTCGCCCTTTGTGGACTTTCAGGTGGAAGCCACGCGCAAGGGCGTGCCTGCTGGGCACCTTATCCCATCTGCTCCTTGTCTTGCTGCTTTCAGGGTTCACAGCCATCCCACTGGCCCCAGCCGTGCATGCCCTAAGAGCCAACAATGGCTCGCCCTTTGTGGACTTTCAGGTGGAAGCCACGCGCAAGGGCGTGCCTGTTGGGCACCTTATCCCATCTGCTCCTTGTCTTGCTGCTTTCAGGGTTCACAGCCATCCCACTGGCCCCAGCCGTGCATGCCCTAAGAGCCAACAATGGCTCGCCCTTAGTGGACTTTCAGGTGGGAGCCACGCGCAAGGGCGTGCCTGCTGGGCACCTTATCCCATCTGCTCCTTGTCTTGCTGCTTTCAGGGTTCACAGCCATCGCACTGGCCCCAGCCGTGCATGCCCTAAGAGCCAACAATGGCTCGCCCTTTGTGGACTTTCAGGTGGAAGCCACGCGCAAGGGCACGCCTGCTGGGCAGGTGTACTTTGATTCGACTCAAAACACATAAACCCCAGTGGTGTGCAGTGCAAGCTCTAAGAGCCATGGTTGCCCTCTTTCCTAATCAGACTCAATATCTTCTGTCTCATCTGCCTCCCCGATTGGTTGCCTTCAGGCTTTGCAGCCATCCCGCTGGCCCCAGCCGTGCACGCTCTAAGAACCAATGGCTGATCAAAACAAAGTGAATCACATCCGCTCTTTTGTCTTGCTGCTTTCAGGGTTCGCAACCATCCCACTGGCCCCGGCCGTGCATGCCCTAAGAGCCAACAAGGGCGAGCCCTATGTGGACTTTAAGGTGGAAGTCACACACAAGGGCATGCCTGCCGGGCAGGTGTATATTGAGTCGAGATTTATCGGCCCCACTCTTGCTTTGAGACGTCTCAAAAGTGATGTTTTGAGACGTCTCAAAAGTGATGTTTTGAGACGTCTCAAAAATTAAAGGTGGAAGTCACACACAAGGGCATGCCTGGTGGGCAGGTATATATTGAGTCGAGATATGTTGGCCCCACCCGTGCACGCTCTAAGCGCCAATGGCTGACTTCTGACTTTTCTGGACCCCAAAGTATGTGTTATCTGCTTCCCTCCCTGTCTTGCTGCTTTCAGGCTTCGCAACCATCCCACTGGCCCCAGCCGTGCATGCCCTAAGAGCCAACAAGGGCGAGCCCTATGTGGAATTTAAGGTGGAAGTCACACACAAGGGCATGCCTGCCGGGCACCTTCAGGGAAGCTTCCGGCTGGCGTGGGCTGCAACCAAGCACCGCAGCAGCAAGTGCGCTCAAATGTGAACGGGGTGTAGAGAGCTCCAACTGGTCCATGGATGGGCATGTGGTCGTTATAGAGCAATCGAGCGCAACAATTTGTTGGAAGGAGAATATGCTAGTTTGATGCAATGCGTAATATGCATGGGCGGAAACAACAACATAGTATGCTGTCTTGTAGCGCACACATTACGCAAGTGTAGTGGTGTGATGTAGTTAGAATGATGGAAATCATAACACCTAGATGCTGGCTTCTGTATGTCGGTGTGTAGTGAAGGGTTGGACTATTGTCTTATAAGTCATTGACTGCTTTGCTTATATTATTGATAATGTACAAAGATACAACAGGTTTTGTGAAGAAAGAACACCACCTGAAGGACAGTCACTGGTCATTGGCTTCACACACATCCCCTCGTCCTGCCCACGTTGCCATGCCACGTCACCCCTTGACCTGGATCAGACAGTCAACAGCACTGTAAACTGCAACACAGAGACACAGGGCAATGTCGCCGACTGAATGCTGATTATGTACGCGATATAATTCAGGCGCGTGGACGACTGGACCCACTGCTACCGTGACCAGCGTGGGAGTCAGTCGCCAACAGCGTCCACTGTGCTGCTGCATCTCCTCCCGTCGTGTCGTGCTCGGTGCGGCTGTGGGAGTGTACAATTTGCCCGCTAGAAAATCACGCGGTGGTGGGGGGTGGCGGGCGATGTGGAGGCGAAGGGGATTTCCGCGAAGCGTTGATTTACTCATCCATTCCCTTCCCACTGGCTGTACAGTATTCCTCCCATCGCACTCAAATTAGGGTTGATTTGAAGCAAGGTCCCTACAATTCAGGGTGGGTTTTACATGGTGTTTTACTAGGCTTACCCTACAAACCAGGGTGGCCAATTTCTGTCAACTGAGTGAATCACTGTCCTCCCTGATTACGACCCGGCCAGGGCCAGTTTACGCGGCTGAGAATACCTCTGACAAGAAAGATACTCAGGTGCTTCCGAACGAGGAGCTATTGCGCCGAAATTGCTTAACTCCCGTAAATTGTCCCAAAGTAGGCGAAGTATTAAAGCACGTCGTGCCTGCACACTGACTCGCAGAGCAAACGATGCGAATGGTAGTTGGTTGAAGTTGAAGGTGGCGTGCTTAGTGGCGTGCGTGGTTGAGCTTAGAGGTATGTCTGAGGAAAGCACGGCCAAAACCCCTGACCTACATACACGAGTAGAATCAGCCCTGAAATGGAAGGGTGCCTCAAAACGAGAAGTGAGGCGTGCACCAAGGTTGCCCGTTTTCTTGAGAAGAAAATGAATTAACTGTACCTGGAAGGCGACTCGACTTCGGACTCCATCCTGACAGAGGACTCCTCATCGGTGGTGCCCGAAATTGGATTGTGTTGGTGAGTCTTCATGAAGAATAATGTATCATTCACCGTACTTGATCGGATTGTAACTCTGAGTGACTTTCAAAACCGCTTACATACTCCATGGTACTCATCTATTTTGAGAATCAAACATACTCCACGAATTCCCTCTTTTGCACTGCGTCCTCATCAAAGAGGTTATTGAAGGAAGTTTTCTAGAAGGACGACTAGACGACGAGACGACGAGACGACGACACAACGAACTCCAATGTGCATTGCCAGTGGAATGAGTTGCGGATTGACGACGACGTCCACTCCACTCCACAGAGAGAGAGGAAACCGTTATCTTATGAAGACCGTCAAGTCAAGCTCTCCGACAGACTCTCTCCCAATATCTGAGACTACTAACAAGCGTTCTATTTTCCACCTCGAACTCCGCGCTGCTACTACCAGCGGCAGGAACGGCCGCTGCAGCAATTGTCGATATGGTTTTACCTCCCTTTCCAAAGCTACCAACCGGCAACCTCCTTCCCCTCATCCAAGCCGGACACGTTGCATCCATCTGGCACGACGTGCTGCTCACGCCGCCGCAATTGGCGCAGTCATCCTCTCCGCGTTTGCCGGCATCCCCGTTTTTATCTGCTAGTGCTAACGAATTGCTCTTTCCATCACCAGCCGCGGAAACTGAGAGCGACGATTTTGGCGGGTATGCGGCGAACGATGATTACGTGTCACTTTCCGCGTTCACATTCGTCTGCACCTCCTCAAAAACCGCCAGCGCGGATCACGCCGCTGATCGCGGCGGAAGTCATTTCCCTCAGAGCGTTCGCGCGCATCGGAAAAACAGTCTTGTAAATTTCAAGAGCGAAGCAAAGATTTCCACCTCTCCCCACTCGCTTTCTCCCCGCTCACTTTCCCCCGACTCGCTTTCTCCCCGCTCGACGCGTCCCGCCTTCCCTTGCCAGCGGCTCGATCTGGACGGCTCGTTGAGCCCCGACGACTCCGCGCGGCGCCCATGGAATCTAGGAATCTTGCCTCAGACGTGCGTACTTTCCCCCATCGCCGCTCAGCCGTCAGATGTCGCGACGGATGCCAACGTCTCACCGCCGTCGTCCCCGTTAGTAGCTTCCCCAGGCTCTGGATCGCCGCGCGAGTCCGGCGACTCGGCGTTTCCCGTAATTTTCGACAACGCGCCGATCGAAGCGGTGGAAATCGGCACCCGGCAGCGCGAACCGGGGGAAGCGTACCCTGTGCTTCCGCTCCTCGCGCAGCCCGTGCGGCTTCACAACGAGACGCGCTCGGAAGTTTCGTGGAAGCTGGTGGTTATCGCGATTGACGACCCGTTGGTCGCTGCCCGGCGGATGGACGTGGTTTCGCGGAAGCTTCTGCCGATGGTGCGGAGATGGGTTCGCGAGTCGGGTTTCGCGTCACCGCCGCGTCCGCAGAGGGAATCGTCAAGACAGGGTGAGTTCGTTCGATTTTTGAGGTGCCTAAAAAATTTGAGTAGGGCTTCGCGTCGCCTCCACGTCCGCGAAGGGAGTCGTCAAGACAGGGTGAGTTCGTTTGGCCACAATATCAATCCTTCCCCCCCTTATCAAGTGATTAGGGATTTCGCGGCAGAGTTAAGGACATGATGGTGGTACTTCTAGTGGAAGATTGGATCTTTAGCAGCGAGACCGCCTTTTCTTCCTCTCTTGATGTCGCGATGCCTTCACGGCGACGGCGGTGTGACCCCTCCCTGTGCCCAATCCGTTCCCCCCGTCCGCATGCCTTCCCCTTCCCCTTCCCCTTCTCCTTCCCTTCCCCTTCCCCTTCTCCTTCCCTTCCCCTTCCCCTAACCTTTCCTCCTCCCCCCTGTCCCCTTCCCCCTTTCCCCTTCGCCCTTCCCGCCCCCCAAGCAGAAAAAAAGCCTTCGCCTGCTAGCCCCTCGTGCGACCCTCTCTCATCTCCCCATATGGAGTGCTTGTGGGACGAAGCTGCTCAGAAGGCGCGCGCCGTGATCACCGAGTCGCACTACACGTGGAAGGTTCTCGGAAGCGCCCTCCGCCGACCGACCTTGCAGCGGAGAGGCCACGTGCACGCGCACGCGCTGCGAGCGTGGCAAGAGCGGGATAAGATCCTCGACAGCTTCAGCAGCGCGACGCTCAGTAGCGAATCAGCCGCGAAAGGCAGCAGCAGCAGCAGCAAGCGTAAGGTTAGCTTCGCGACCGGTTTAAGAAGCGGACGGCTCGGCTCTATCGGTACTATTGGTAGCGGCTTTTCCGAGTTGGATTTTGAGTCGACTCCAAAGTCAACCACTCAAAAGCCTACTCTCTTAAGAAGCAGAAGGTTCGGCTCTATCGGCTCTGTTAGCAGCAGCGGCTTTTCCGCCGAGGCAGACGGGATATTATGCGAACCAATCTGGAAAGTTGCGAAAGATTCTGAGGAGGAGGTGTTTCGAAAGGGCGACGCGGGAAGTGGTGGTAACTCTGTTTGGCTGCTTATCCCTCGTTTTGGGAAGGAAGCGGAGAAAGTAGCTCGTAATAGGTCGCGCGCGCTTTCCGCAACTTCCGCCGCCTCCGCAATCTCCGCCGCGTCGATTACCGAGTCTAACGGGTGTAGTAGCCGTCTCGAAGCGGCTGCAGCAGTGGCTGTCGCTCGCGTGAATGCTTCCGCGGGTGGTGCTGCGGCGCGTAATGTTTCCGGTAGCAGCGTCAGGGGCCACTATCGCCGCGGTTCGTGGGGTGGCGAACGGAGCTATACCGTCGGCAGCGGCGGCAGCTGTGCGAAAAACTGCGAAACACCTGTGTTATTATGCGAACAGAACGGCAGTAGCAACAGCAGTCTCCGCAGCAGCAGCGGCAGCACTAGTGGCGACAGCTGGCGACGGTTCGACGGCGCTCCGAGCAGCACCGGCGAACCTTCCCCCTGTCTTTCCCCGCACTCCGTTTTCCCGTCTCCACGCCCCGGCTTAAAATATCCCGCCAGCGCAACTTTTGCCGGCGCAACTTCCGCCAGCGCAACTTCCGCCAGTGCGACTTCCGCCAGCGCGGCTTCCGCCAGCGTAGGGCGCGCCAGCCCCCGCACCATTTCCCCCGTCCCCGGCCGAAACCTTCCCGCTTCGACGTGCACGTCGCAGGACGATTCGTCCACGTCAGCAGCTGCAGCGGCGCTGCTGAACGAAATACTAGACGCGCCGCTGCCCATGTTCTTGGACCTACAGCGAAGCGCCACTATCGGATCGTCGTGTATTGTGCAAAAACGCGGTGCTAAAAATAACGGCAACAGGTTGGGTGGTGGTGCTATCAGTGGGCGGTGGTGGGGGAAGGAGGAGAGAAACGGGGGAGAGGGGAGAAGCGGGAGTTTCGGCAAAAACGGTGCTGGTGGGTTGGGTGGTTTGTGTGAGCATAACGAAGGTGAAGAATCCTGCCTCGGCCGCGGCGATGCGGGTTCTGATGGCGATGGCGACAATAGCGAGGGCGAGGGTAGTCCGAGGCCGATGGAGCTGCTGAGAAGGCATACCGTTACAACCATAAATAAAAGGGACTACAGTGAAGCAGCTGCTGTTTATACGAACGCCGTTGCTAAAGAAATCGCAAATACGCATGGGATCGATAGGAGTGCGATTCTAATGAGCGGTGATATCATACGGAGCAGCTCAGGGCTGGAGTTACCAGGCAGCAGCAACGGCCTAGATATCACTAATAGTAGCAAGGTTGGCAGTAACAGCAGGAACAGTAGCGGAGGTAAAGTTAACAGTAACACGGACATGCCTAGGAGCAGAGGGAGGAGTTTGTGGATGGAAAGGACTGGGAAAGTTCGAGCCATTGCCCGCTTGCTTCCGCGCTTGGAAGTTCCGGCACCGGTCGGGAAAGTGGGGGAGAAAGGTGACGTGGAAGAGGAGGGGACTCCAGCTCAAGGGGATGAGGGGTTGGAGCAGGAGGAGCAGCGGTCAGTCAGAGAGAGAGCAGAGATGAAGCACGAGTGTTTGGATGGGAAGGGGGAGAAGGAAGTGGGGGGTGGGCAGGAGGAGGAAAAGGAAGAGGAGGGTGAGGAAGTGGAGGAGAAGGTGCACGAGGGCGGCAGTAGCAATAACGGTACCAACGCGGGCGGCAGCACCACCTCAGCGGGCGGCAGCAGCGGCGCAGTGGGCGGCGCAGCGGGCGGCAAGAAGAGCTTCCGGTACAGCATCATGATCCCGTCCAAGTCCTCCAAGAGCGCTGACGTGGCGCTTGGCAGCTGTCGTGAGGCTCCCAAGACCAGCTGGCCTGCCACTCCCCAGACCGCCCGTGAGGCCCCCAAGACTCTCTGGCCTCCCACCCCCCAGACCGCCCGCCATGCTCCGAACGCTTCTAAGCGCGCACTACCTCGCCCTCACACCGCTCAGCCCGAACGGCCCCGGACGGCCGAAGCAGAGAGCACTGAAGATGCAGAGAGGGTGAGAAATGATTTTTCCCGGGAGTTTCCGGGGGTCAGGGGGTGCGCGGCTCGGGACGGGTGGGGGTCCAGCCAAGACCTGTCCATACTAGAATGGGCCAAGCCTCAACGCTTTCCCGAGCCTCGTAGCGAGCCTCTTGCCAAACCTCCTGCCGAGCCAAGTTGCAATCGACGATGGAGCGGTGCAGACACAAGCACTCCTACGGAGGACGCTTATAAGGAGGACAGGAAGTTTACAGCTAGTGAGCTGCTAATGAGGGCTCTGAACGAATCCCACGTGGACCCTGAGGATGCTTATGCTGCAACACTCTCGGCTGTAGCTGCTGCAGTGTCTGCTTCAACTGCTGCTGCTGCTGCCGCCGCCGCCGCTGCAGCTGCTGCTGTGTGTTATTCACAACCAAAAGAGGCGGCAGCAGCGGCTGCTGCGGCTTCTGCTGCTGCTGAGGCGGCTGCCGATGCTGCTGCTGCTGCTGCTCTGGTCGCTCCCAGGCAGTCTGTGGCTCGTGCCGTTGCTGCTGCTGCTGCTGCTGCCGGTTTATCAGACCCTGGTGACAATAACAGCCCTTCTTGTGACCATTGTCCTGGTGGCAACTCTTCAGGAGATTATTTTGGTGCTGCTGGTGGGAGCTGCTCGGCTCAGGAGGCCAAGGAGAGCAGTTTTCAGGCCAAGGACGACAGTAAAAAGGGCAGCAGGAGCGGTAGTAAGAGCAGCAGCAACAGCAGCGGCAAGAGCAGCAGTAAGAGTAACAGCAAGAGCAGGAGCAAGAGCAGCGTCAACGGGGACAGCACGGGCAAGGCGGGGGAGGCAAGGCAGATGAAGGCAGCAGCAACGCACAGCAGCACGAGTAAGCAGACTCAGTCACAGGGCAGCAGCAGCACAGGGAATGGCAGCTTGGGTAAGGGCAGCAGCACCAGTAAGAAGATCCGGCCGTCGATGAGCATGCCATCTGCTAAAGCCTTCACTGTTATCGCTGCCAAGGACGCTCCGTGGCGGCTGTCCAGACAACTCACTGCTGCAGCAGGCAAAACATCCTTAGCAGCGGTAGCAGCCCAAGCAGTGACAGCAGTCGAAAGCACAGCAGGAGTGCTTCCAGAGGTGCACCATCCCCGTGTGCTTTCACCAGAGGCAAGAGCACAGCAGATGCTTGCTCGACCAAGCAACGGAAGCACCACCGCCAGCATCGCTGCTGCCGCCTCTCTTTCTTCTCCTGCCAATCGCTCCTCTCTTCCTTCTCCCAGTTCCTGCCCTCGTGCCGTGCGCCTCCCGCACAACCCGCACCTCCCGCCCCTCTCACCCCGCTCTTCCCTCTCACCCCTCTCACCCCTCTCGCCCCTCTCGCCCCGTCCGCCCCGGGCTTCTGACTCTGCTTTCTCTGGCTTTAAACCCTCGTCTGGGGGTGGCACCGTTGCAACCCCCCGCCCCAGTCGCTCCGTGCCAAAGTCGTTTTCCAGTGACAACCTTGTACCACTCTCCACCGCTCAGAACCGCTCCACTGGCAACCTTGCACCGCTCAAAATCACAACAGGACGCTGAGTCAGGCGCGATCCATTTCCCCAAGCCCACGCGGGCCGCGATCGAGGAATGGGAGGGAGCGTGGAGGGCCGGAAGGATTTAACTCGTCTGCTACCCTGTTTGTGTCTAGGAATGATGGAGCGAGTGCGGGAATGGTGGGAGGGGCGGATGGTGGTGCTGTGACTGGTTGGTTCTGAGGATGGGGTGAGAATTTGGGAGAGAATGCGGGGTGATTTGATTGAGTGGGATGGTGTGAGAAGTTCAGCTGCGGGTGTAGCAGCCACGAGTCACAGTGGGGTGGGAGGGGGTTGGAAAAGATGATGCGGAGATGGTTGTAACGGTTGCAATGGGGAGGACTATGTTCAAGAGATAAGAGATTGGCATTTCTGTGTATATGGATGAGTCAATGCCTCCAGAAGACTGTGCTATCAGCGGAGATCGCCGCTGGTTCGGCTGCTGCGATTAGTGATTGTTTAAGGGCATAAAAAGAAGTTGGGGGGTGAACTGGAGGTGCTGCAGCAGCCGTCTGACTTATTGATAGGTATGACATCAGCATGTATCTGCTGTAAATATCTAACATGGTTTTGACAGTTAACTAGGTTATCTTAATCATAGTGTTTTTATGTCATGTACAAGTTGACCTGATTGCTCTTGTATTGATGGCCCAAGAGCACAATGGGCTGGCCTGGTTGCTTTCCAGCCATTGGTGGCGAGGGCAATTCGCGGTTCGGCTGAATTGCACGATGAGATGCGGCTCGATGGCGATGCACATTTCCGTCCGCCAAGTCCCAACGCTTGGACGTTCCCCTCGCAGCTTGCCACGGGCAGCATCAGCTTCTCCAAGCTCGCACAGATGGTGTTTGCCAACTCCAAGCTGCCCGCCCCCAACACATCATACAAACGAAACGGGCTTTACATGTTTCTGAAAGCAGGCAAATGTGAGCAACCTCTTCGCCTGCGAAAGCTGCTTCACATTTCTGTTTTTGCTGCTCCACTGCCACTTTCGCCTCCAGTAACCTAGCTTTCGAGTTATCCCAGTTCCACCGACACTTCACCTGTGGAACCTTCGCGCCGCGCGTTATTGCCGCCAGCGAGCAACGGGAGATGGAGCAAATCTCTTTGTACGCTGGCGGGCGGGCTGGCCTGCTTTTTGTTTCGCGTCTTGAAAATGCTTCCCTGACTCACGCCGCTAAGCGCCGGTCAATGGCTAATAGTTCTGTTGTGCGCTACGCCACACTCTATGACACAGGGTGATACATGTGCGACACGCGGCAATAGATTAGTTTTAGAAATCATCAGTCGTGAGTGAGATTCGAACACTAACTCCGGACGCCCGCGAATGGCGCTAAGCACCATACTATGGCGAATAGTATCCACTGCCTTGGTGTGCATCCGAAACTATGGCGGCAGAAAAAACGAGAAGTGCAGCAGCACTACCAGCAGCAGCAGAAGCAGCAGCAGCGGCGGCAGTAGCGGCAGCAGCAGCGGCAGTAGCAGCAGTAGCGGTGGCAGCAGCAGCAGCAACAGCGACAGCAGCAGCAGCAGCAGTAGTAGCAGCACAATCTGCGGCAGGAAAACGAAACTCCTCCGCGGTCCGTCGAAAAACTGTGGCGCATCGCGCGCAGCAAGCAACACGTCGCGTCGCTTTTCGAGCTCGACTATTATTTCCACCTCCGTCTCCACCGCACCCCCAGCAACAAACACCAGGAACAACTTTAGTTCAAGCCCTAATTCCAGCGAGCCCTTCTGTACTCTAACGAGCTGTACTTTGAGCGCGCCTCCAGGAGGATATATATGTCCGACTCGGAGTCCTAATCTCAGCGCAGCGTCGCCGCTCGCTGGCGCCACCGGAGCGTCTGCGGCCACTAACCGCCGCATGCCGAAGTTGATCGGATCGGGCGGCTATGACGTGGCGTCGATCTGGCATGACGTGCCCATTTCAACGACGATGAGTGGAAGAGGATCCCCCTATTGCGTTTCTGGGGCTTCTCTCCTGCCGCGGTCTGCGTCTTTACCTCCTACAGCGACGATTTCTACCAGCAACAACCCGCCGGCTGTGGCGCCGCCCGCTTCATCCTCGCTACAGTCAGCCTCGGTACCACGCTCGTTAAGCGAAACGTGCATTCCTAGCACTACAGCATCCAGCTTCGGAAGCAGCCGCGGGTTTTGCTCACCGGCGTCAACGTCAACGTCAACGTCAACGACAACCGCCGAATTCACATTCGTCTGCACCTCCCCACCCTCCGACCCGCGCTCGCGTGAAGGCTGCGTGTCCGGCGCGTGCTCACACGACCGCACGTCCGAGCGAGCCGGCGCCAGGTCCTTCCCCGTTGCGCGGCACACGCGTACTATAACAGGTTCTTCCGCGTGTGCCGCGCAAGCGTGTCCGTGGAACCTTGGGATCATCCCGCAGACGTGCGTGCTCGAGGTCGTTCCGACGAAGCTTCCGCCACGCGCCGCGGAGCTGAATTCCTGTAGCACGGACTCCGGTTTACTTAACTTGAGTAGTTCAAACGAAGCTTTCCCGGAGATTCTCGGTGATGCGCCATTGGAAGCTGTGGAGGTGGGGGGCAGGCGTAGATACTGCGGAGAGGTGTACCCCGTTGTTCCGCTGCTGGCGCTGCCCGTCAGGCTGCGCGGGGGAGGCGCGGGGGGATGGGTGGGGAGAAGCAGGGGGGGGTTGTCGGGTGGGGGAGGGGATGGACGAGGGAAGAGGGTGACTGAGGGCGCATGGGAAGAAAGGGGAGAAGGAGCGAGAGAAGACAGTGAGGAGGAGGAGGAAATGGGTGAGAGGAATGAGTGTGCGGCTGATTCAGGCTTGGAGGTTTCCTGGAAGCTGCTCGTGATAGCCGCAGACGACCCGCTTGTTGTGGCTGGGAAACTCGACGAAGTTTACCAGCAGCTGCTCCCTGCTGTTTGCAGGTGGGCCAAAGCTGCACAATTCACAGTCCCCTTCCCACGAGCAATGCTGACGTCAGCAGGCTGCTGCACCGCGGTGACGTCAACTCATCATGATCCGAACGAGCATTGCTGCTACAGTAGCGGCGGCGGCTGGTATGACAGCTGGCAGAAGGAAGCTTCCAGGAAGGCGGAGGCGGTGGTTCTCGACGCCCACCGCACGTGGAGGATTCTGTACGGCCCGCCGCTCATGCATGCCGCCCGCTGGGGGCAGGAGGGGCGGCAGGAGGGGCGGCAGGAGAGGCAGCAGCAGGGGCAGCAGGAGGGTCAGAGTTGTCTTTTTCTGCATGCCGCCCAAGGGCGGCAGGAGTCGCAGCACGATGGCCAAGCAGAAGAAAGAAGCTGCCCCTCGCTTGTTCGCGTCGCTGGGCGGCCGCCTGTGCGTGGCACGTTGGGACAGAGCACAGGTCAGGGTGGAGGATGCGTGGGAAGAAAGAAAGAGAGAGGGGTGCTGTGGGGGAAGAATTCTGGCGAGGGGCGAAGAAGCGCGTGTGACGTTCAGAGACAAGCCGAGGACAGTGGGTGCACTGCATCGACTTTGGAATCAGCTCATCTCACACAGGCGGAAAGGGCGCCGGGTGCTGTGCCTTCACGGGACATGGCAGGTGATAAAGGTTGGGATTTGAGGCGTCTCAAAACCCAGGTTTTATCATCAGCTCGTCTCATACAGGCGGAAGGGGCGTCTGCTGCTGTGCCTTCACAGGAGATGGCAGGGGTGAAGCGATGGAGGATGAGTGGGAAGGGGAGCTGGAGGCGGGAGAGGTGGGGGTGGGGGACGAGCAGCAGCTCAGTGCATCGTGTGGCACCTGCTTTTTCTCCTGAGATGACTTCTGACCCGACGCAAATGAAGGGGAGCATGGTGCAGCATGTAGCACCCGTTCCCGTTTCGTCCCCTGGGCAGGTTGTTGAGTGAACTCAAAACAAGAGGAGCGGGCTTCGTTTCCTGGGTCGACAGTCGAGATGATTGAAGGAAAAAGCAGCACGGTGTCAAGTGTGCTCACTTGAACACAGCAGCGCGCATGGTGACCTGCCGAAGCAGTATCAAAGGGAGAAGCACAGAGCTATTGGACTGGCCTGGCTGAGCGGTGGAGGAGCACACAGCTATTGGGAAAAGGTTCTTGCAGCACAGCAAGCAGTTAAGATTCGGTTGGGTGGTGCAGAATCACTGCCGCTGAGTTGAACATCTTCTTTAAAAGCAGCAGCAGCAGCAGCAGCAGCAGCAGCAGCAGCAAAAACCCTGGCTGATGAAGCATGTCGCATGGAGTGGTAAAGCTTCGCTTATTGAAAGGCAGCGTGTAAGGGGAAGGGGGCTCAAGGGACGAATCAGAAGGGACAGCAGTGGATGTAGAGTGGGTGATCTGCCAAAGCAGCATCACGGAGTATTCACGGAGAATGCAGAAGCGCGCTGAGCCATCTTCCGGAGCAGCCTTGAGGTTACACACTTGAGACTGCCTGTACAGTATAAACAGCCTAATGATTTTTCAGAAGAAATTACCTTAAGAAAGAAATTATGTACATTATATACATTACATTACACAACAAACGAGAGACAGTTTGCAAACTATCATCATTCCCTTCAACGTAGCCACACCTCATCCCTACTGCTCCTTCCGCATTTCTTCCTTCACCAGCCAGGGCACTCCACATCCCCACAGCCCTCCTCCCACCATAGCGTCTTTCACATGCTCAGCAACCGCCACCACTGACTGCAACGAATTGTCCACATTACTTCCTCGTTTCACCGTCCTCATTTTCCTACCGTCCTACTGCTCCTTTTGCTTTGCCTCCTTCACCAGCCTTCCCAGCTCAGGATCAGCCATCTTGGCACTCTCCACATCCTCCTCCCCTCCTCCCACACTCCTCCCCACCATAGCATCCTTCACATGCTCAGCAGCCGTTGCAACTGATTCTAGCAGTCCAGCATGCTTCACACTCTGCCGCCTCACCTTAGCCTGCTCTACCACATCCCCCATATGCGCCCGGTTCACCAACTCACTCACCCACCCTCCCCCTCCCCCTTCCTCTCCCCTTCCCCCTTCCCCTGCGCCTCCCCCTGGCCCTTCCGCTACCCCCCCTCCTCCTCCTCCTCCCCCTCCTCCCTTCCCGCCCTCTCCTACAGCCCCGCCAATCCCCAGCTCCTCCCTCTGGCCGGCGATTTTTGGCGCCATTGTATTCTCCTTGGCAATTCGATTCTTAGGCTCCTCAGTCTCTATCCCCGTCTTATCCATAACCGCCTTTGTGATTCTACCGAGGGGCTCCCTCGCCCCCCCCTTAAGCATCTCCGCCTGCTGCCTCCTTTCTCCTTTCTCATCCAGGCGCCAGGCACACCACCGCCGCCAAACACACCTCGTTCATCTGATGAAGGGGATTTCACTGCGGATCTACCTGCTGCTGTCTCAGTGGCCGCCGTCCCATCATGGGAGATTCCCGCATGCCCAGCACCAGATTCCTCACCAATACCAGCAGCACCATGCGAACCACTGACAATCCCACTCTCACCACTCGTACCACGCTCTCCACCACCCTTCACGTCCGCAGCAAGCAAACCCTGCGCCGCTGGCGCTTCCGCGGGTGACGACTCCATTGGTGGCACTTCCACTCGTGGCACTTCCACTCGTGGCACTTCCACTCGTGGCACATCCGCAGGGGCGTGCTTTCCTGCAACGCCTAGCACCTCCGCGAACGACTGAAACATCTGCCCCATCGCGCCGGCAACAGTGCCCGTCGCGGCTGCGCCAGTGTCGCGCACGCCAGCGGCGGACGCGGAGATGTTTTCAGCTGTGCGCGCGTATGCGCCCTTCGCGCCCTCCTGCGCGGACTCAATGCCCTCCGATGTGCGCTCCGCAGCCGCAGAGACTCTGAAACGGAGCGGCAATGGAATAGGGATGGCGACAGCGACGGGGATCTGAAAAATATGCAGACACCCTAAGGTAATGCAACGGCAAAATGATGAACTACAGATCATGCACATACCCTTTCTTGGTGCTCTCTCCAATCGCCTCCGCCGCTCCTTCCACCGTACCCGCCGCTTTGCCCAGCCCTCGCGCCGTCGCCGTACCCGCCGCCTCGAGGTTCTCCTGCAAGTACGTGAACAGCAGATACTGCCACCTTTTGAGGCGCCTCAAAAGTCGCCTCAAGATTCTCCTGCAAGTACGTGAACAGCAGATACTGCCATATTCATCTCCCTCGCGCACTGACTCGCACCGACTCTGCAATGCCTTGCACTGATACACGTACACTGACGGGGTAAAGCTTCAGGGCACGGAGACACGAACACGGGGTTTGCTGACACCAAGAGAGGGAAAGTTAGAAAAACAAAAAAAACCAATCAGAAGCAAGCACCAGCCTCACCACAGCCGCGTCCTTGGTCTCCGCCGCGAATCCCTTCCCCTTCTCGTACGCCTCCCGCCCCACCTCCCTCGCCGACTCGCCCGCCTGCTCCGCCGTTTCCCCCGCCTGCGCGGACCGCTCACGCGCGGCCTCGACGGTCTCCTGGATGCTTTCCAGCGTGCGCTCCATCACCCCGCGCGCGCGCTCCGCCATCTCCTCCAGCGACCCTTGCGCCTTCTCCCCCGCCGCCTGCGCCTCCGCCTGCGCCTCTTGCGCAATCTCCTTCATTCCCTGTGCGCTTTCCTCCGCCTGCTTTTCCGCCTCCTCTCGCGCCTGGACCGCCTTCCCTTCCGTCTCCTCTATCCCCCCCGCCAAGCCTGCGCGCGCATCCTCCGCTTTCCTCTCCGCCACCGCTGCTCCTTCCGCCGCCTTCTGCATCTCCTCTGGCGCAGCGCGTTGCGCGGACGCAGCCGCACCCTCGCCGGCTTTCATCTTCACATCTTCACTTGAATCCCGCGCCGCTGGTTGCTTGAACGCCTCGGAAGCTTCCTTCGCCGTCTGCTTGATCGACTCCGAAGTTTCCGCGACGCCACGTTTTGCGTCCCATCCACTCGCAGCGTGCTCCTTCGCCTCTTCAGTCGCCTTACGAGCTTCCTCCTTAGCACTCTCCTTCGCCATCTCTGCGCTTCGCTCCCTCTCCTGCTGCGGCGACACCCCAACGGCTTCCTCCCTACCCGATCCGATGTTCAACCCGCGCTCCGCCGTGTCCACCTGGCCGCCACGTGTAGCCTGACTGTCAGCTGACACGTCACCAGCGGCGGGTTCATCCTGTGTGTTAATCGGAATGTCCAACCCGGTCTGGAAAGCTCCCTCGGTTTCTGGAGCCGCGTGGCCCATGAAACGCGACGCGAGGTTCTTCAGCGGTGCGAAAAAACCGCCGCCGGATGCGGACTCCTCAGCGCTCGAGAGGGCTTCCTCGCCGCGCTTCAGCCCGTCTTCGTGCCTGAAGGATCATAAGTCAAAAAACTTGAAAAATAGCGCCAGAGTGTCTGGTTGCAGGGGAATTGACGAAGATCGACCGACAACGGTCCTGTTTTTCGTTGGCAGCGACAGACCAGACCGAAAAAGTGCGCCATTGTCGACTTCGAAGACGTGAGCTGTACTCCTTATGCTGGGATCACGGGACCTCTTACGTTGCCGGAAGATCTTCCTTGCCTTGCGCCGCCGTGACCTCCTGTCCCTTCTGCGTCAGCGCCTGCTCTTGCTCGTACTCTGCGGGATTAGCATGCTTCTGCAATCACAAAAAAAACAAAAACAACAAAAAAGGTAGTAATGGTAACTGTTAGAAATGCAGGGGATGGGGATGAACACAGAAGAAAACGATAATGGCGATGCTGACCTGTGTTAAGTCTTCCTTTTTCATGTAAGGCTCCACCTCCTCCTGGGCCATTGCTCCGGATCTGCGCGACTGCTCAAAAGCCATTGTGGCGGGTTTTCCGAAAAACAATCATGGAACTGTCGGAAAGGCAAACGTGGAAAGCGCACAATTACGGAGCAACCAGTGTGAGTGTCTACCGATTCAAGAGTCGTGTCCGCTAATAAGGAGGCTGAGCCGAACAGTGCGAGATTCCAGAAGAGGTGTGTGAGGGACGCCATGGCTGAGGAAATGCGGCGCGAATTCCAAGCAGAAAATTGTAAATTGGTCAGTAAACGAAATTTGGAAAATTGCAGCTGGTGTCAGGCAATAACGCGTCACACATGGCGTGCATGAGTGCAAACCTCATTCACAGGGCGACACATGGTGAAATCGCAGCTTTCGAAGAACATCTATTCTCAACCGTCGATGCCTTGCCTCCAAGAAACTCGCTGGGTGTGGCTTTTTTCCACCAAGCCTGGGCTTGGGTCCTCGGGCCCGCCAAAATTGTGGAGGCCGTCAGATCTGATTGCGGTAGTTGTGACGTGTGTGGGGACCAGTGGCTATAAAAGTTTGTTTATTCTCCGCCATTTCGTGGTTTATTTCCGGATTGGCTCAATTGAGTGTGCTGGCACGAATGTTTCCCTCATTTGCGGGGACCACACTGCATCAAACAGAAGGAAGAATCTAGGGAAGGGTCAGAAATAAATTGCAGAAGCAACACCACTTTATCATTTGTTTGATATTACAATCATTTTCTGTCTCTGTAGCTGCATCTATCCTGGCCATGTCTCTTGAAAGGTGGAATAGGAAAGAGTCCTCCGTCTGCCCGAGGCAGAAGCAAAAGTTTACGGTACAGTGAGAGCTCATCACGTCAACGTTCCCAATCTCGATTTCGCCGGTCAATCGAGATCGTAGAACTACGCCTTGTTGGAGTTGACGTGGAAGAGAAGCTTTCTGGAGTACTGCGCGCTCTCTTCCCAAGCCTGGTCAATCAAGACAACAGCACCACATCAAACCAAGTTTCACCACTACTAAATAGAAGTAACCACACCTCACCACATCGTTGTGAGTCTGATGTGGTTTCTTGAGACCAGCCGGGTTACACCATTTCAGGTAGAATCTGTAATCTCAAAAGGTCAAACCACAAATCAGCCAACAGAAGCGCGTAGCAGATTAGCAGGCTTGTTTTAGTTGCTCACTCGGAAGTGCTCCACGTCTTTCCGTTTCAAGGTGGCCAAGAAGGTCTTGTACATGTGCTTTCCGCGCAGCACCTTCGACTGACGCAGCAACAACCTTCAAGGTTTCTTTCAGGCAGTTATCAGCATCGTTTGCGGAGCCAGACTCGCGGTTAGATCATTATTTGGTCAATCAACTCGAGTGGACCATTAGAAGCCTTAACTTCGACGATCTATTCTAAGCCTACAGATTCCTGTCTTGTCGAGGCAGTCTGTCACTACGGTGAGGCTGCGTGAACAGGCATGGCAGGAGCCGTTTGTCCGATGAGTCCAGGTGAGACCGATTGGCGAACTTCAGCGGAGAAAACAGCCAGCTACCTGGTCAAACCGTCGACAGCACGCATGAACGGCCGCATGAACGGTTGCGGAAACGGTCACCAAGGAAACGGAGTGGTTAATTTTTACACGGCTAATGGCAGCCGACCACACGGAGACAGCGACGACGAGGAGTTCCAGCCGGCTGAAGTCACCAGGACCGGATCTTCTAACGAGGATTTCTTTGACGCAGCGGAGGACGGTCTGGAAGGTTGGTCTTCTGTTCTTTTTCTCCGATCCTTAGTCCCTCTGACCTTCGGCTCTGCAAGGCATTTTTTCGTGCGCCAAGGAGCCCCAAGTCTTTGTGAACGAGAAATAACCTTGTAGTAGCCCTACATTCTCGTTAGCATGCGTTGCGTTTCTGCGAATCTGCAAATTTGTTCCATTCCTTGATTGCATTGTCAAATCTGATCAAATCTGACCACTATGCCGTTCCAATCGCTGCAGAGTATCTCAGCAGCGACGAGGATTTCCAAAACGCTCCCAGCATCGCCATCAACGGCAGCAGCCGAGCCGCTCCTACGACTACCACCACCGCTGCTCGCGGCCGGCGAACCTTGTACCGCGACCTCGTCGCGCGAATCCAGGAAGAGTCTAGACGGCGAGCAGAAGCGGAGGAAGCGCTATCCGCCTGCACGAAACGGCTGGACGGCGTGCAAGCCGCGGTCGCAGCCGCGCAGAAAGCGCTCGACGAAGCTGCTCTGATCGTTCTCAGTCCGGCGGGGTCCGGTGATGCTCAAGGGGGGAGCAACAGCAGGACGGCTGATAACGAGGAAACTGGAAACGAGGATACCAGGTCGAGATCTGCTGACGGATCGCAAGTCGGGCCGGCGGAAGCAGATACTACCGGGAGCGTCGGCGCTGAAACAAATGTGGCTGGGATTGTTAGTGCGGAAGCAGATACGACTGGGACCGTGGATGTGGAAGCAGATACGACAGGGAGCGTCGACGTGGAAGCTGCATTGGCGAGAGCGGTTGCTGCGGCGATGAAACGAGGCGAGGAGCATTTGGTTTCCGATAAGGAGCAAGCGGATCTGGTGGCGCGGAAAGAGGCCGAGGTGTCGCGGTTGCGAGACAAGCTGCAGTACTGGGAGCGGATGAACCAGGAGATGGCTGAGAAAAATAACGAAGCCATTGGTAAGGAGAACAAGCTGAAGGGTTGATTGTTAGATACCTTAACACACGGTTTCTTTTTCTTGGTCTACATTGCTGCCGTTCCTTGCAAAACGTTGCACCGTATCTGGTGTGGAGTCCTCATGACCGTCAAGATCGCTGCCGAGCCTCTTCATCAAGCTTCTACCAATCAGGAAACAGCTTGTAATTTCACACCCAATTCCTGGATTTAGCTTCGTCCCATTGCATCTCTCTCTCTGTGTCTGTCTCTCTTCTCTCATTCCGCTGTTGCGCGTTCCGCTTTTCCCGTCGACCCATTCAGAGCACATGCGGGCGCACAGGCGGCGGTGGAACGTGATTTGGAAGGCACTGGGGGTGGGAGCGGCCGTCACAGTGGGCGTGGGGGTCATGGTGGCCGTTTCTCACCTCTCCAGCAGCAGCAGCAGCAGCAGCAGCAGCAGCAGCAGCAGCAGTGACGCTAACAGTAACAGCCAACAGTAACAGCGATATTAGTGGTATCGGCGGCAGTGGTGGCAGTAGTGGTGGTGGCAGGCAGTAGTGGCGGCATTATTGGAGCAGCCATCAGCCTCGGGCTCTCTCTGGGTGCTGCCCGGTCTGTTTCTGCTGCAGCTGAACGAGGAACCAAGGGGGAGGAACCTTAGAGGGAAGTTGCCAGGATGCGGGATGTATGCATGACAGCTCAGCACTGTCAGAAGATTAAGTGTTGGCGGGGGGGGGGGGGGAGGGTGGGGGGGTGTTTATGGAAGAGCGGATGCAATGTTGGGAGAGGCATGGAGGCAGTGCTTTGCCGGCTTGAGTCCCAGGCAGAAGTGCGTTTGGAGTCCCCAGATGGTTCTCGCCTTGGCCAAGGCTGACTGCTGCAGATCCTTCAACAACAGTCTCTCAAGGAGCGTACACAAGTGCTTGCTGAGAGTTGTAACAGCTGCCTGCAGCTTGCACTGAGCTTCCTGCTTACTGTGTTTGTTGGTCTGGCTGGGAGTGGGAGATGGTGGATCGAGGTGATGAGGAGACATGTCAAGCGTTTTTGGTGCAGAGAGGTTGCTGCTGCCTACTGCTGCTCAGTACCTTTTGAGGTGGTTGGTTTGACTCCCATGTGGTCTTGATAAAGGTGTATTCTGTATAGGTTGTTGCTATTTTTTCTTTACAATCTTGTACCGGTAGCTTGTTCTTGTTGTATAATTGCTGTTGCCTAAAGGCATTATTGGTAAGTATTATTGAAGCAGCTACAGAAGCACTGGTTTGGTGATCTACAATCATTTCTTAGACCTCTGTGCTGGTATGCGGCTACATTGTGATCAAGATAAGATATATATATATGGCATGTACTACCTATCCTAACTTCAGAGTAAGCCATACATGGGTGAAAAAGAGAACAGACTGGGATGGGAAGGGAATACTGTGCTATGTCATGTTAGTGATTATAAACACAGACAGAAACACAAGTGCAAGTTACCCAGGTCAACCTGAGAGTGATACTCCAAGAGCCACCTTCCCCTTCACCTTGCTCCCACCCACACCCACCAAGCCTCGGACTGCTTCTCGTGCCACCTCTCTCACTACCGATGTCTGCTGACTGTGTCTGGCAAACCGCGGCACATACCGAACCACAGTGGCAGCCCCATTTCCACCACCACTGCTGCCACCGCCACCGCCGCCGCCACCACCGCCGCCGCCACCACCGCCGCCGCCACCACTTCCCGTCCCGTCGAACCGACCCCTGCCTCTTCCTCTCAGCGTGACATGCTGGCCCGACCGAAGCTTGACATCTTCTGACCTCGCATCATCACCCCTCTCCGCACACTCTATTTCAGGATTCGTAAAGCTATCACTGCTGCGACCCGGTGCTACAAGCAACCAGGTGCTGCTGCCGCTGCTGCTCGTGCTGCTGCAGCTGCTGTCGCTATTGCTCCTGCCAAACGGCCTATCGCTGTTTCCACAGTTGCACATAACCAGGTGTGGGCGATAATCGCTGCTACAGCTGCTACCATTGCTATTGCTCCTGCCAAACAACCTATCGCTGTTTCTGCAGTTGCACGTACTTACGTGTAAGCAGTTGCTCCTGCTGCTGACGCCGCTGCTATTGCTATCGCTCCTACCAAACGTCCTCTCGCTGTTTCCGCAGTTGCACATACTCAAGTGCAAATAGTTGCTGCTGCTGCTGATGCCGCTGCTATTGCTGTTGCTCCTGCCAAACGTCCTCTCGCTGTTTCCGCAGTTGCACATACTAAAGTGTAAGCAGTTGCTGTTGTTGCTTGTGCTGCTGCAGCTGCTGTTGCTGTTGCTGTTGCTCCTATTAAACCGCCTGCTGCGCTTACTTCCCTGGCGGCTGGTGTTCCGGTTCATGGAAAAGGGCGCGCAACCCATTGCTGATGCACACCCAGGCTGCTTCTTAACCAGATCGCAACACTGCTCCTCCTCCTCCTCCTCCTCTTTATCCTCCCCTTCCTGATTTTGCTGTTCTCTGGCCCCCTCCAGCCGCTGCCTCTGCTGCTGCTGCTGCTGCTGCTGCTGCTGCTGCTGCTGCTGCTGCTGCTGCTGCTGCTGCTGCTGCTGCTGCTGCTGCTGCTGCTGCTGCTGCTGCTGCTGCTGCTGCTGCTGCTGCTGCTGCTGCTGCTGCTGCCGCTGTACCCTCCCATGTTGCTGCATGTGCCACATCTGCTGCCGACCCTGCTGTGCCAAAGGAGGGGCTGTGAATCCCCCCACTCCACACAAGGAGCAAGCAGGGACCATCGCAGGGCTCTCTGGCTCCTCCAATGCACCTTCCTTCATCGCGCACCACTCCACCACATCGTCCTGCACCGCACCCCCTTCCACCACACCGTTTTGCACTGCACCCCCTTCCACCACACCCCCTTCCACCACACCGTCCTGCACCGCACCCCCTTTCACCACATCCCCTCTCACCACAACCGCTTCATGCCCCCTTTCCACCACAAGCCTGTCCCTTTTATCCTTGCCCGCTGCAAGCTCAGAGAGCTGCCCCCAAGACAACTCGGGCACCATTCTCCCGCTGCTGGGCAGGCTGGAAGAAATATGAGCAAACTCGAGAACCTGCAAGTCAGGTGCACTGGTGCCATCCCGAACCTGCAGCTTCGGTTGCCTTACCTGACCTGGCGGTTCTTCCCCGGTGCAGAGGTTTTCAAAGAGAGGAAGGCCTCGGCGGGTGCGAAGGGAGGGGATGGACAAGGAGGAATTTGAAGCGGTGAGGTGATGATTGCGGATAAAGTTTGCGTCGCTGCCACTGAAACCTTTGGAGGGTTTGATCCCGCCGTGGGGTGTAGATGGGTTGCTACTAGTGTGTCGCCTACAGTGAGTGACACTGCTGCACTCTACAATGTCGCGATGATGCTCATAAAGGGAACCACACGAAGCGGTTCTATGAGCCGGAATTGCCGCTGGTGATAATGCTGATGCTGATGTTGCTGTAACAGTCACCATAACAGTATCAGGACCTCTTACAACGGGAGATTCACTGCCACTAGAAATCAAACCAGCGACCACCACACGCGCCGGGTCAGCAGCAGAGCGCCTGAAAGACGAGCGGAGAGCGGAGAAGAACCGAGGGGTGGAAGGAGGCGGGGGGCACACGGCGGAAACCGTAATCCAGCCACTCCCTGCGCTCTCCAACCAATTGCGGGGCTTTTCCGCAAAATCAGCTTCCGCAACGCCGCGCGCGCTATGTCGAGGCGACTCTGTGGTGGACCTCCACTGGTGGTAGGACAAGCGCGGAGTTGTTGGCGCCGACAGCCCCGCTGCGCCGTCCGCCAGGTCCGCCCAGCTTAGGTTGTCCGCCACAGCCGACGCCACACTTTCCGCCAGCGCGCCCCAACTTTTTTTAGGTTCAAGAACCAACCCTCTCCGCGTGAAAACCGGTGTTTGTGCTGGCGTTTTGCTACCATAAAATTCAGATCTCGGAGTTTTAGGCGCCGCATTAGACCGAGGCGTTAGTGCTTTCCAGCCCCCTCGCCATCGCTTCGCTCCAGCCGCCGCGATCGCCGCCGCCGTAGCCGCTTGTTCTTCCGCCTCGAGCTCCGCCTCCGCGGCCGATTCCCACAGCGAATCAATGTCCACCGCAGAATCTGGCGCAACGCCATCAAGGCCATCCGACTCCGCCAGTTCTTCTGCCGCTTCCCCGCCCTCTTCCCACGCCTCTCCGCCGCCCGGTTCCCCCGCCTCTCCCCCCTCGTCCTCCCCCACCCCCTGCACCTGGTCGTCGCCGTCGCATGCGGGGATCGCTATCGCCATGGAGCGCTTCCACGACGAGGAGCACTCCGCGCGACAATCGGCGAGAGTATTGGCGTGAGAATCGGCGTGAGAATCGGAGTGAAAAGCGGCGTGAGAATCGGCGTGAGAAACGGCGTGTGAATCGGCGTGAGAATCGACGTGTCTACTATGGGCGGGAAACGAAGGAGCGGAGGAGGAAGAGTAGGACGCATTTTTAGTTAGTACAGAGGAACAAGCGGAGTCTGCGGGTGACGTGGAAGAAGCGGATTGGTTAGCACTGGCGGGGTTAGCAGATGAAGCACTGGAAGCGGCAGATGCGGCGGAAGGGGAGTCCACCGGGGCAACGGGGGCAGTGGGGCAAAATACGGCGTAAGCGCTAGTAGCGGCGCGAGAGGTGGCGGCGGAAGAGGCGGTGGAGTGAGGGAAATAACTTCGTGAAGTCGCTTCAGAAGAAGAAGGTTTTCGCAACCCGAACGCGGCCTTCCAGCCTCTCATGCTCCGGCGGAAGAAGAAACGCGACGAATGCGGCAGCGGAACGACGGGGGCTTGCGGACTCGAAAGGCCGCAGCGGCGCTGCCTTGCGCTGCTTTCCGACGGTGCTTCTTCCGCGGCCGGTGGCGGATCATGGCGGCTTGGGCTCATGTCTGGGGAGGTGGCGCATGGAACGGCGGATGCGGCGGAACGGCGGCGTCGATGATAGACGAGCTTCAAGCCTGTGGACGACAGGAACGTGGACGCCGCGCGTCTCACACGCTCCGCGACGCGGACTGTTATTATCCACGTGACAACTGCCGCCTTTTCTACTCTCTTGTTACTCTCGCGTCCCACCTTCTCGAAGCGCGCCGCCGCGCTCTGAGTTCGGTAATTCGACATTTACGCGCTGCGAGGGAGGCGTGTTGTTCAAAGGGTGATACAGAATCAAGTATTAATTAAGCCGGCTTGCCCAGTCGAGGTTGAAGAGCTCAATAAGTCCCACCACCGAAAACTCTTCGAAGCATCCCGTAGGCTTTCCGTAGCATTCCAGAAGAGATTATTCAAGAATTTGGTCGAGTGACATTCAAGAAATCCCAGTAAGTCGAGTTTCAAACTCCTTTACGTGCGGGATGGAGCGAGCGGGAGCAATCGGAGAGGTTACAGCATTTTCTCCCCATGCGTTCTTGCAATTTTCTCGTGCTTGGGTGGGGTTGCTACAGCATTCCAAATGGGTACACTCTCTGAACATGTCGTTCGCGCGGCCTTCACTCGCACTTGCAGCTGGCAATGTGTCCGTTTTATTGTGCTTCTGCTGCTGCGAGTCTGTGATGTGACCCGTGTGCAGTTTTGTTCACAGAGGCAGATGTCGAATTTGACTGCTCCCAAACGAACACGTACAGCAGATGAACAAAAGAGTTGGAGTGGAGAGCACGAATGCAGGACAGGTGGGTCCCTTGAGCCATAGCTCAACTTGCTGATTTTGCGTGTCGAGGGAGGAATCGACGTGGTGTGTGTGGACTGTGGTGTGGAGTGGACGCATTGTGCTCGGGGCAACTTGACGAGAAGGTTGAATTGAAACAGAAAGCTAGCTGCTGGTGGGTGCGGCATCTGGTTCAAGGCGATTTGCCTTGTTTACCCTGTGTACACTGTACACCCTCTTTCTCACCTATCTCACCGGCGGAAGCACTGGCTACAGTGTTTGGACGTAGCGTGCTGGTGAGATAAGTCGGTTGCGGGCAAAGTCGCACGAGGGTTTGAAACACGCCTTGGGCCGTAAAAACCCATTAACGTTGAATAACCGTCCCGACCGCTTTGAAAATAACAGTACCATTCTAGAACGTAGAAAACCTTGACTAAACACCCTGGGTCAAATTGTCACTATAACGCATGTGATAGGACCTTCTTGGGTCCGGTGCGGTCACACTAAGCGTCTCGGTCAGTATACCAGATGCCACTATAGCGAGAATGAGGGTGTAGTAGCCAACGACGACTCGGCGATGTTCTGACTGACACGGGTAATGGCGTGTACAAAGTGAGCCTCTGAGGGATGTCGACGAATGTCGACCCTCGGATCAACGGTTCCAACCGTCAGGATTCGCCGACATCCCTCGACGTCGAGTTTTTGCAGTACTTTTTTTTTTTTTTTTTTTGTAATTGATATATACACCAAGTACAGCAGATGTATACAGCAATAACAGTCGTAACTGTGCGTGAGAGGCAGCTACGTTGCTACCCCAGATTGACAACTATGGTGGTCTGTGATTGTTCCTCGGCAGCTGCCAGATGGCAGCAAACGCACTGTTCCACTTCCACTTCTTGCTGCTACTGTCCCTCAGTTTATCTACCAATCTTATCTCCTCCTCTCTTGCGCGCCGAAACGATCCCTTCTTGTCCGTAGCCACCCGCCTCCTTCGTACATCCTCCTTTGCCCGAATGTACACCCTTGCATGTTGGCGGAAAGCCAGCTCAATCCTCCTCAACACCCGTTTCGTCCTGAACCTCCGCCCTCTGAAAGCAGCTTGACAGCGCTCCAACCACACCTGGTGGAGTGTGATGGCAATTATTGTCGCCTCTGGAAACGCTGAGCTGGAGCATGGCTTCTGGAAGAGAAGGTCCCCTAGCGACGAAATCGACCTCGAGCTGTTGATCATACGGAGAGTCCGTTTGAGTGCTGTAATCACCGTCTGGATTTTGGGGCAGTCGTAAAGGCAATGTTCCAAAGTCTCCTCTCCCCCACAGTGCGGACATTTCGGTTGTCCACTTAGAAATGACAGTCGCTCCCCCACCTGTAGGTTAAGGTTATGCACCCTTAGCAAAACATCCCTTGGCCTGCTTGGAGTAGCCAGGGACTCTCTGACCGAGATTGCCCTTTTCCAGTCAATCTTCCCATTCCACCTGCCCGACCACTGTTGCTGCTTCACTGATGCCTTCTGCCCTTTCTTCCACAGCTTTTTCAGCTGCCTCATCGGCACCACCTTCCCCTTTTCAAAGATCGGTAGAAGCATGAGATCTCTTCCAGGCGGGATGTATCTCCTGCGATGAGAGCCAACCGTGCTAGGGTTTGATTGCTCTCTGTAGGAACCGTCTAGCAGCAGAGTCCGCCATGTCTCAGGTGCCGCTTCGAAGGCCTTCAGCGCCAACCTAGCTGGTCCTTTCCCCCCCAGCTCCTTCTCCAGTGACTCCATCCCTCTTAGTGTGGGAACTCCTTCCTTGTCATAGCTGATCAAGTGTCCCAGCCTCATCTCCCACAAAGGTTTCGCATCCTTCTGCCCTCCAACCGGTGTGGACCCCCTGAGGAGAATACGCTTGTTAAACACTATCCGCTCTCCCTCCGCAGCTTCTCGAGTAACAATCTCCGGCAGCTCCCCCAGCGGCGACTTCATAATTTTTTCGCACGCAATTTTCCACCGAGCACTACGTCCTTCCCATCGCCGCAGTAGTTTATCATGTGCGAAAAAGGACTCAATGCCCATAGGAAGCTCAACCGCCCACATCATGATCTCTTTCTTGAGCACATTCTTCTCCGTGATCAGCAGCCCCACCCTCCTTGCCGAGAGACAAGCAAGAATCATCTCCGGGTCACATACTCCAACTCCCCCATCCTCCCTTGACGTGTGTAGGAGATCCTTACTCCACAACCGGAACACCCTGTCAGCCGTTGCCTTGTTCCCGGATACAAAGTTCTGGAACGTCTTGGAGAGCGCATTCCAGGTTACTGGTGGCGGCGGATATACTTGCGCCTGGAACGCCACCACCGACATAGAGTAGCCGTTCACCACCGCCGCTCTCGCCTTCGTCGGAAGATATTTTTTCTCCCATGTTTTAAGTTTTCCGACCACGCTTGCCCCCGCCTTCTCCCATGTTGGCTGACAACTTCCTGCCGGTGTTACCCAAATCCCCAGCAGTCTCTCCGCCTCATCCGCTCCCGCCCAACGGAAACTCTGTGGTCTGCATGAGTGCCTGTGTAGGTTATCGCCCAGCGGCAGGATGACTGACTTTTCCACATTCGTCTCCAGCCCCGAGGTAAGCTTAAACTTCTCCAGTACCTTCTCCGCCTTAATGATTTGCTCCTTCCCCTCCAGAATCAGTGTGGTGTCGTCGGCATACCCGATGTACGAGAGACGCTCGTCCGCCTTGCTAAACCCCAGCTTTTTCCGCCACACCTCTTGCGCCAGCGGTTCTACTGCGCAGAGGAACAGGTATGGAGCAAGCGGGCATCCCTGCCTTACCCCAGATAGTACTTCCACTCCATCTCCGAACCATCCGTTTATTAACAGCCGCGTCTGCGTTCCCTTGTGCAGACCTTCGACCCAGCCAACCAGCCGCTCCGGAAAACCCATCTCCCTCAAGATTTTGAAGGTGTAGTCCCTCGACACCGAATCATATGCCTTCTTGAAGTCAATGAGTAACAGAAACCAGTCCTTATTCTTGTTCCGAGCCGCATCAATCACATCGGCGATCAAACCCACTGCGTCCGTGAGTCTTCTCCCCGGCAGGAAGCCGTACTGCTCCTCTGAAATCACCTTTCCCAGCACCTTCTTCATTCTGTCAGCAATCACCCTCGCCAGCACTTTGTAGGTGAAGTTTAGAAGAGTTATCGGTCTATAATTATTCAATTGATCCTTGTCCCCCTTTTTGTGCAGGAGTATCGTAACGGCTTCTTTGACATCGGTGGAGAGTGAAGCAGAAGTCGCGAAGTCCTTCGCCATTGCCATAAACCCTTTACCCAGCAGGTCCCAGTGCGCTTCAAACAGTTCTTTCGGCAACCCATCCTTTCCAGGCGATTTGTTAGCCGCCATCGCTCCCAAGGCTGCCTTCACCTCTTCTTCTGTCCAGTCAGCTGCCAGCTCCTCTGCCTCCCACTTCTCCAGCTTTTTCCCTTTTATCGGCTTCCAGTTCTCCTTAAGACGGCATCTGTCTTCTCCGAAAATACCCGCGAAGAAAGTCGATGCTGCCTCCAAGATCCCTTTAGAGTCTGAGACTGCGCCGCTCGCTGTCTGTAACTCCGCGATTTGCGTGCTTTCCTTCCTCGCCTTTACCATTGCTGA